GACTTCACAAAACATTATAAACACCGCCCCCCAGTAGCATTCAAGAAAACATGATGGTGTTACAACAGGCAAGGAAGGGAAAGCTGAAGCAGGTTCTGATGTGCCCCTCCCCCACTTGTCTGCTTGTCCTTGACCTTGGACACAAGGGTAAGACTCAGGGACCAGGGTGTGTGGAGGGGGGGGGGAGCAGAACCAGAACAGTGGAGTTAACAGAAGGGGGGGGGATGAGATTTCCTCTCTCCTGCAAATCCCCTTCTTATTACCTATTTTTACAGCAGTAAGGTTTTTAGAATCCAGAAATCTTTGAATTACATTACAAACAACAGATGAAACAAACTGTAAGAACTGCAATTTTGTGCTTTTGCGACATACAGTTTGCTGTCCGAGAGTGTTAGCTTGTCTTTGAGTAGCTGTATTTCCGACTCTTTCTCATGAGCGACCAGATTATTCTGAAATTCTTTGTCTCTGTTAGTCGCCAAGAGTGTTTCCAGGTTTTGTATTGTTATTCGCTCACTGGACAACTGCTTTTTTAACAGCTCTGCTTCCGCTCTTGCATCTTCCAATTCTGTCTGAACCTACAGAATAACAATAATTTGTTTCAATCGGTAGTCTTTCATTTAATATTAAAGGTTAAGGGAAACCCTTCTACATGACAGCGAAACCCCAAAGAAATGCACTGTGTACAGACCTAACACTTAATTATAGTTTGTTTTCCCTTACTGTGCTGAACTGTTTTAATATCTGAATGCTTAAAGCCATAGTAAAGGATTGCCACAATACAGGATAGTATAACCATAATCTGAAGTAGGTTAACAAGCCATGGTTTAGGCCTTCCTTCTCCTACTGAGCAAACCATGGCTAACAGAACAGTGGAGTTAACAGAAGGGGGTTAAGTGTGCGGACTCTAATCCGGGAGAACTGGGTTTGATTCCCCACTCCTCCATTTGCACCTGGCTGGATGACCTTGGGCAAGCCATAGTTCTGATAAGAGCTGTTCTTGAAAAAGAGCATTTTCTGTCAAGAGCTCTCTCAGCCCCACCTATCTCACAGGGAGTCTGTTGTGGGGAGGGGAAGGGAAAGGAGTTTGTAAGCCGCTCTGAGACTCCTTCGGGTAGTGAAGGGCGGCGTATAAATCCAATCTCCTCCTCCTCCTCCTCTTCTCTGGTTGCAAAATAATAAGCAGGGTTCCCCGGGCTCCCTCTGGGGGCAAGACTTCTAGTGCAGTGTTAAAGACAGTTACATCTTTCTAAGCCCATTGAAGTAACACTGTTTAGGATTGCACTGTTAGCTTGACAAGTTAAAAGCCATAGTTTCACCATACATTTGATATCTAAATGAGACCTAGTGTAGTGAAGTGATTAATGTCAGACTAGATCTGGGAGAGCAAGGTTCAAAACCCCACTCTGCCATGGAAGCTTTCTGGACGACCTTGGGGGGGTCACGCACACTCAGCCTAACCTACCTCACAGGATTGTTGTGAGGATAAAAAGGAGGAGAGAAGAACAAGATAAGCTGCTTTGAGTCCCCATTGGGGAGAAAGGTGGGTATAAATGAAGAAGATAATAATAATGATGATGATGATGGTGATGGTGATGGTGGTGATGATGATTTGGGCAACAAACCATAGTTAGTTCTAACTATGAATAAGGGTTAGTTCTGTACCAGGCAGCAGAAGTGAGAGCCAGGGGATTTAAGAGGAAAGGGTAAATTCTCAAACAAGTTACAGTATTGAAGCTAGTATCACAAATCAAGGAAACCCAAACTGACGTGCAAGGAGGTACCACAAAACAAGAATGAGACAATGCAGCCAGAGACAGCTGATCCTAGGGACAGAATGAGGGACTTTGACCTGGGTTCAAATACCTATTCAGCTTTGGTCAAGCCACTCTCAGCTTTAGCTCCTGAGCTGGAAAACAGAAACAACAGTAAACTATCTAACTGCAGTACAGGTGAGATCAATAAAACGGCATAGCACTTTAATCTCATAAATTATTGTTTTATTGCTTGTTTTATCCTGTTTTTACCTGTTGAATCTTGGCATAATGTGCCTTATTTGTTAGCCGCCCTTGAGCCCATCCGGGGAGGGCAGGGTATAAACTTAATAATAAATAAATGTTACAGAAAGGATTTGGGGTTCCATTGATTGAGTTTCTAATGTCTCCTTCAGGTGGCTTCTCTTTCACTCTCAAAACCACGTCTTCTGTTTCTAATTTGACTGAATCTTTTCATTAAGAACAACTCAAATTTCTTTCCTACTTACCCTCTCAAAATCCAGACTTTTGACTGCTAACTGACGAGAAAGATGTTCTTTGCTGGACTCCATTTTAACACAAAGATCTCTAACAGAAACCACATCAGCTGCTGCTGCGGCCTTGCCTTCTTTTTCATTTTTGAGACTCTCTTCAAGTTTGGCCATATTTTTCGCCATTGAAGAGATCTGTGATTCATATGCTTGGTGAGCAAAGATGTGCTAACCAACAGAAACAAAACCAAACATATTATTCATATATGTGATCATAGCCTTCATTGTATACTAAAATGTAAATTCAAGCTCTTTTAATCTTCCAAAGGACATTTGCTACTATTTGCAAGACCTAACAAGTATCAAGCAAGAACGGAAGTAGATCTCAAACAAATTTCTTCCATTGGGCTCACAGTGATGATAAATTACCACCACCTGCTCCTTGGGGAAATCTCCAATTAACACCAAGGCATCTGGCTCAGAAGGAACATTAGCGAAGTGGACCAGCCAACACAATTCAGAGAACATCGGAGATTTACCTCCTGAATTTCTTTTTCCAGTAATTCTATTCTTTCTCTAAGGTGTCTTCGCTCAGTGTCAACAGAGAGAAGTTCCAGGCGGACTGAGCTGCTGTCCCCCTCCGCTTGATGAGCCTTTGCTTCCCAGTCTTCAGCTTGGCTATGGAGCATCTGGAATTTTTCCAGCAAATCCCGGTTTTCTCTTTCCTAGTTCAAACAGAAATATGCAGTGAGCAATGAATCACAGTGACAAGTGCCTTCTGCCCTGGCAAGCCCATCAGCAATATTTAAACTAGCAAGCCGAATCAGCAATACACGTGCTAAAGAAGAAATCTGGATGGGGGCTGTTCTCCACATTTCACACACATCCCCCCACCTTCCAGAACAACTTCATTATTTTTAGGACCAAGGTAAATCCTTGATTTGCAGTTCAGATAATGAGATAGGGAATCACAAAGTTTAAAGCAGATGCTGCCTTTGTGTCTTGATAAAAATGCTGATGGCTGCACAGTGGTGGATTTTTCTTCTTCCTTATTCTCAGTCTGCAGCACCAATTTTAAAGAGCTAAGTGGATACAAAACAAAGGACTTTGGCTGTGAGCTGTCCACATCCCCACTGAAGCTATAGGATCAAGTTTAGAAAGCAATTTGGGGGTTTTGGATGATAGCTGTTCAAAAGAAAACACAAGAACAGCCAGCGTTCATCAATGATAAATACATTTCAGACATTCTGAGTCAGAAGATTCAGATTTAAAGCCATATTAAAACACTGCACAAACCGAGTTAAACAAAGTTGATCCCATGATTCACGAGTTATATGAAAGGCTTTCTGCAGTTCAGTTGTGCAATAACAGTTACATACATATGGAAGTTTCTAATGGTTTCAGAACTTCGTTTCCTGAGATCCACGTGATCATTCTGCATTTCGTATACTGGGAGGAAGACATGAGCTAAATAAGCAAACGCTACACAGGGATGTACAACTCAATCTGCCACTGTGTTGTTCATCTGGTTGTTTTTTAGTCTGTGGCCCAAACATGCAAGAATGCCAACAAGCGTGTACAACTTCCACAAGTGGGGTGTTCACCACAGCAACATTATCATAACTCCTCTCCTTTGTTTAATAGCACAAAATGTGACATGGAAAGTCACTGCACAAATACTTCCACATTGTTTTTCCCCAATAGTGTCTAGCAATATAAAACTGCAAAATACTTCAGTGTTGCAAATAATAGCCAGTCAAAAGTGGGAGGAGGGAATCATGCATTGTGATGCCACTGGGCAAGAGCTGTGGAGGAGACAGAGGGCTGCTGTTTTTGGTATTCACCATAATATCTAGTCCATGTCTCACTAAAGGGCAGTAGACCACAAAAATAACACCAGTCCCATTTGAGATTCTTTATGCACAAGAAGTGCCCAGTGGATAGTGCTGTTATGCTGTGATCTCAATGGTGCTATCCTAAACAGAGTTACAGCCTTCTAAGTTCATGGATTTCAATGGACTTAGAAAGCTGTGACTCTGTTTACGATGGCACTGTTAGTATACTTATTTGGTTGCCTGTGCCTTTAACATCAGTGTCACTGATGCAATATGTGTGAGGTGAGCTACTGGCATTACAGTTGTGAGTGAGTGATTTGGCTACTGCATGAATTAGTTTGCTCTGGAGCCGTCCTTCCTGAGCTAAGACAAAAATGTGTATTTGTTGTTGTTCAGTCGCACAATCGAGTCCAACTCTTCGCAACCCCATGGACAAGATCCCGCCAGGCCCTCCTGTCTTCTGCCATCCTCTGAAGTTTGCTCAGTTTCATGTTCGTTGCATCTATGACACTGTCTAACCATCTCATCCTTTGCCGTCTCTGTCTTCTTTGACCTTCAATGTGTGAGCCGGTGGCTAAAAAACTGTGAGCTAGCTCACACTAACTCAGCTTAGAGGGAACATTGGCTGTAAGCACAGGATAATGCCCAAGCTTTGCTCTCATGTTAAAAGCAACTTTCTAGTTCACATGCTATGAGGTGGCTTTGCAGAGGGGTTAGAGAGATTCATGGAGGAGAGGTCCATCAGTGGTGACTAAGGGGAACCAACCATAAAAACTTTATATTGTTGGTGTTAGTTGGGTCAGGTGAGGCAGGTGATGCTGACTAGAAATGGGACCAGAGACTAGTGGCCTTTGTAACATTGAGGCCGGGTCGAGGATCCCAGTGACTGGGGGATTAGGGAGAAGGTATTATGAGACAAGGAGACAGAGATATGGATATGCTCGGTCCCTTTCTAACCTTCGTCCCATTCTGAGAAACGCTGGTGGAGGGACTAGAACTATAAACCCTTCTCTGACACTGATGCTGTGCAATGCCAGGTCTATTAACAATAAGACCGCCACACTGCAGTTATACTGCAGTGCAGGAAGTGGACCTTGCTGGGGAACCAAGACCTGGGTAAGGGAGGGTGAGACAGTCACCTTGAAAGAACTAGGCCCCCCACCCCCAGGTTCTTCATCCTCCATCAGTCCTGGACAAAGGGACAGGGGTGGTGGCAATGCTTATTAAGGAGGCTTTCTCCTTCAGGGCACTCCCCACTCTGAAGACCTCTGGTATTGTGTTGGCCTGACCTGGGACACTGAGGAGAGTTTGGCTGTCTGGCTGACGTACCATTTGCCTAGCGCAGTGGCAGGCAGCCTGTATCGGACTGGGCCTTGGAGTTCCCCAAGTTGGTAGTTCTGGGGGACCTCAATGTCAATGAAGATGCTGCTGCCTTTTTGCAGGCCAGGGACCTGGTGTCTTCCATGGCAGCACTGGGACTCTCCCAGATTGTATCGGATCCCACGGATCAAGTGGGCCACACACTGGATCTCATCTTCAGTGTGGGACTGGATACTGATCTCATTGCGACTGATGGGGTGCCATGGTCAGACCATTTTGTCCTGAAGGCCCATCTAGGCATTCCAATCCCTTCCTGCATAGGCGACATGCTGATTTATGTTCGCCCATGGAGACTATGGCAGGTCCTTAAAGAGATGGGAGTACCAGACCACCTCACATGTCTCTTGAGAAACCAGTATAAGGGTCAAGAAGCGACAGTTAGAATCGGATATGGAACAACTGATTGGTTTAGCATAGGAAAAGGAGTACGACAAGGATGTATATTGTCACCTTACTTATTTAATATATATATATGCAGAGTACATCATGCGAAATGCTGGCCTGGATGAATCACAAGCGGGAATTAAGATTGCTGGGAAAAAGATCAACAACCTCAGATATGCAGACGATACCACTCTAATGGCAGAAAGTGAAAAGGACCTAAAGAGCCTCTTGCTCACAGTAAAAGAGGAGAGCGCAAAAGTGGGCTTGAAGCTCAACATCAAAAAAACTAAGATCATGGCATCCGGCCCCATCACTCCTTGGCAAATAGAAGGGGAAGTCGTGGAAGTAGTGACAGACTTCACGTTCCTGGGATCCCAGATCACCGCAGACTGTGACAGCAGCCATGAAATTAAAAGACGCCTGCTCCTTGGGAGGAAAGCGATGGCAAACCTAAACAGCATGATAAAAAGTAGAGACATCACCCTGCCAACAAAAGTCCGCATGGTCAAAGCAATGGTATTCCCAGTAGTCATGTATGGCTGCGAGAGTTGGACTATAAGGAAGGCCAAGCACAGAAGAATAGATTCTTTTGAACTATGGTGCGGGAGAAGACTCTTGAGAGTCCCTTGGACTGCAAGAAGATCAAATCAGTCAATCCTAAAAGAAATCAACCCTGACTGTTCCCTGGAAAGCAAGATACTGAGACTGAAGCTCAAATACTTTGGCCACCAAATGAGAAGGGAGCACTCACTGGAGAAGACCCTGATGCTGGAAAAGATTGAAGGTCAAAGAAGACGGGCACGGCAAAGGATGAGACGGTTAGACAGTGTCATAGATGCAACAAACATGAAATAGAGCAAACTTCAGAGGACGGCGGAATACAGGAAGGCCTGGCGTGATCTGGTCCATGGGGTTGCGAAGAGTCGGACTCGACTGTGCGACTGAACAACAATGGAGACTTATGGACCCCAGAGGGTTCCAGAATGCTCTGCAGGATCCAATACCCCCCTGTGATTTCTTACATGAGCTGACAGAGGACTGGAACTCCCAGCTCTGAAGCCATTGATGAAATCACTCCCCAACGTCCTGTTAGCTCCTGATCCAAACTAGCTCCATGCAAAAGATGAAATGGGAGCTAAGATGACTAGAATGAGTTTGGCAGCGATCCCATGACAAAGAAGAAGAGATTGGATTTATACCCCGCCCTTCACCTGGGAGTCTCAGAGCGGCTTACAAACTCCTTCCCCTTCCCCTCCCCACAACAGACACCCTGTGAGGTAGGTGGGGCTGAGAGAGCTCTTTCCAGAACTGCTCGTGAGAGAACAGCTCTGACAGAACTATGGCTTGCCCAAAGTCATCCAGCAGCTGCAAGTGGAGGAGTGAGGAATCAAACCCGGTTCTCCCAGATTAGAGTCCGCACACTTAACCACTACACCAAACTGGTGATAAGAACATCTTTTAGGATGTTTATGAAATCCTATGATATGGTGGTGAAGACTGAAAAGAAGGAATTCTATCTGGCCACCACTGCAACTGCTAGCTCCCACCCAGCACAATTGTTTAGGGTGATTCGGTCACTAACCTCTCCATTGGAGAGCCCAAACTATTAGTAGATTGGATATAAGCTGTGAGACCTTTGCAAGCTTTTTTGCAGGTAAAATCTTGTCGCTCTGCCAGAACCTGCCCTCCGATATTGATACAGTATGTGAACTGGAGACTCCTTGGCTGTTGTCAGGCCCAATATTGGACAGCTTCAGTCAGGTCTCTTGGGCGGATGTTGACAGGATTCTGGAGGTGGTGAAGTCCACCACCTGCCCCTTAGATTCGTGCTCTTCCTGGCTGGCAAAAGCCACTGGCGATCGTGTTTGGGCCCCTCTGGTAGACATTATAAATTTGTCCGAGTTCAGGAGTCTACCCAGGGAAATTTGTCCCTGAGTTCAGGGGTCTACCCAGGGAAATGAAAGGAGGCAGTTGTATGACCACTCTTGAAAAAAACCATCTTTGGATCCCTCTGATCCATCCAACTACCACCCAGTGTCGAACCTATCATTCCTGGGTCAGGTAGTTGAGAGAGCAGCAGTGGAGCAAATCCAGCTTTTCCTGAACGACTCATCTACCCTAGATCCATTTCAATTTGGTTTCCGCCCCAGCCATGGGACACAGACAGCATTGGTCACTCTCACATTTTATCTCCATGGACAGCTGGAATGATGAGGGTCAGCGCTCCTGTTGTTGCTAGATCTGACAGCAGCATTTCACACTGTTGACCATTACTTGATGACACTCCACCTCGCGATGTGGGACCACCTTCAAGTGGCTGATCTCATTTCTCCAAGGTCAGGGACAAAGAGTGGTGCTAGGGGAGATGACTTCCTTGAGGCATCCACTGGTATGTGGTGTTCCTCGGGGGGCTATCCTCTCCCCAATGTTATTTAACATCTATATGTACCCCCTTGCCCAGCTGGTACAGAGTTTTGGGCTGGGCTGTCACCAATATGCAGATGACACCCAGCTATATCTGTTGATGAGTGGCTGACCAGAGACTACTTTAGCTACCCTGGTTGAGGGATTGGAGACAGTGGTTGGATGGCTGGACCAGAGCCGACTGAAACTAAATCCATCGAAGATGGAGGTCTTGTGGCTGGGCCGAGGTGATGCCAGGATGGGATGCCATCTTCCCCCTCTTGACCATCAAGAGTTTAGGAGTGATCCTGGATGCCTCCCTATCAATGGAGGCACAGGTCACTAAAGTAACTAGGCTGGCATTTCTCCATCTAAGCCAGGCTAGACAATTCGCTTCCTACCTGTCTCCCCAAGACCTCACCACAGTGATACATGCAATGGTCACCCCCAGACTAGACTACTGTAATTTGCTCTATGCAGGGCAACCTGGGGCTGACCTAGAAACTGCATCTGGTCCAGAATGCAGCAGCACGGGTCCTTACAGGGCACATATTCAACTTGTGTCCCGCAAGCTGCACTGGCTCCCAGTTGCATTCCAGATCATGTTCAAGGTTATGGTATTGACTTTCAAAGCCCTAAGCCAGGGGTGTCAAACATGCGGCCCGGGGGCCAGATCAGGTCCCCGGAGGGCTTCCATCAGGCCCACAGTGGAACTGGCCATCTCCTGCTTCCAGTTCTGCTGCTGCTGCTGCTGCATCATAACTTGCTTCAGCAGACTTTCTCACTCGCTCAGCCATTTCATGTTTTAACCTGGATCCTAGACTCAGAAGTCTGAGCATGAGATTTCTGTGGTGAATGTCAATAAATCAAAAGTAGGTTTGCAGCTTACAGAGCTAATGTTGTAAGCATGTTTTTATTTTAAAATAAAAAAATCATTGTGTCCTTTATAAACTTTATGTCTCTGCTACCCGGCATTACATTTTTATGACACGCATGGCCTGTCCCAACAAGGTCTCATTTTTGTCAGATCTGGCCCTCATAACAAATGAGTTCAACACCCCTGCCCTAAACAGGGTCCTTTGCCCCAACAAGGTCTCATTTTTGTCAGATCTGGCCCTCATAACAAATGAGTTCAACACCCCTGCCCTAAACAGGGTCCTTTGCTCAGCTGATAACAATTTGCTGGTGATCCCTGGCTCCAACCCGGTGGAACACTCTGTCCAATGAGACTCAGGCCTTGTGAGACCTGAAACAATTTCACAGGGCCTGTAAGACGGAGCTGTTCCACCAGGCACATGGTCAAGGATGAGTAATGGCTTGACCACTCTATCAAGTGTGTTTCGGAGGCTGTGAAATCGATGTCACAGCAACAACAACTAGCAAAGAAAACCTCTCTGCAGGGCTGGTTCGATAGTGAGTGCCACAGAATGAAGAGTCAACTGCGTGCTGTGTTTCATTCCTATAGGATTTCGGAATTAGTGTACCCTCCATCTGAGTATTTTGAATTAAAAAAGACTCTACATCAGCTTTATAAAAACAAACAGAAGGCCTTCTTGTTGAAATACTGGGAACCCCTCCTACAAGCTACTATTAATAACGATACTAGGAAATTTTGGTTCTTAATTTCCAATTCTATGGGAGAATATTGCTCGCCTAGCTCCATAATAACTCCTGACTCAAGTATTATGCAAAGATTTTCTATGAGACTGGGGAAAACACGATAGACGAGCCTGGCAACAGTTTAGATGAGTGCTCGGAGTGGCCCCCGATACAGGCTGAGGAAGTCGAAACTTTAATTGCACCAATGAAAGTGGGGACAGCCCCTGGGCCTGATGTTACACCACCTGAGGCAATTAAAGTTTTCTCTCAGTGGTGGTCTCCCTTTCTGGCAGATTTATTCACTGCTATAGATAAGACCGGTCAAATACCAGATGACTGGAAAAATGCTATAATAGTACCGATCTTTAAAAAGGGAGATTGCCAGCTCCCAAGTAACTACAGACCGATAAGTCTTTTTCCATCATTGGGAAGCTCTATGCCAAACATTTGGCTACTAAGCTTAAGTCTTGGATATTAGAGCAGCAAGTCCTTGGGATAGAGCAGATTGGGTTTTGTCAAGGCAAGTCAACTTTAGACCATTGCATTGTCCTTAACCACTTAGTTAATAAATACAAATCAGGAAACGGCATGAAATTATATGCGGTTTTCCTGGATCTCAAGGGTGGGAAAAATTAAGAGACATGGGGATAGACAAGCGACTACTGCTCTTGATTAAAAATCTGTATTCTGGAAATACCTGTCAGATTAGATATTCCAAGAAGGGGTACCTAACAGCTAAGATCCCCATTAACGTGGGAGTTAAGCAGGGCTGCATTCTTGCGCCAACCCTATTTAACCTCTTCTTAAATGATTTAGACCCCTTTATGAGGAGTATTGATGGCCATTGCCCTAAACTAGGTGAGAGGCATGTCCCGTTACTTTTGTATGCAGACAATGCTGTCCTGCTCTCTCTCTCAGAAATGGGGATGAAAAGGATGCTTGCACAAGCTCTTGCTTACTGCAATAAGAACAAGTTGTCCCTGAACTTCGATAAATCCAAAATCATTGTGTTCGAGAAAAGTTGGAAGCCCATTAACTGGATTATACAAGGGGGGAAAATTGAACAAGTCAAAAGCCATAGATACCTGGGCATCTATTTCAATTGTACTAACAGTTGGGCTACACATATCAAAGAAGCAGTCAAGCCATCAACTAACAACGCCCTTGCTATTGCCCGTTTCTTTTACACCAAAGGACATCAATATATCCCCACTGCTCTTAAAATATTTAACCATAAAATACCCGCCAAACTGCTTTATGGTATCCCAATTTGGGTCTCAGCTTGCAATGAAGCTATAGAACGTGTGCAATCTAAGTTCCTGAAGAAAATCTTGGGGCTACCAGCTTGCGTACCATATGCAGCTATGTGCCTGGAGACAACCCAAAGATGGTTAATTACGATGGCATGGACCATAACCTTCAAATTTTGGCTGCGCCTTCATTTTAGATGTGGCCCAAACAGTCTTGTGGTACACATGTTAACAGAACCCCATCTATCGACTTGGTTGATTAATATAGAGGGGGGAAAATCTATAATTGGCTTTAGTTTTGATGACTTGGTACTTTTGTCTGAGCAGAAGGCTTTTGCCTTACTCAAACAAAGACTCCTCGATATAGAGGTGCAAGATCTTGAGAAGACTTGTGCATAGACATTGCTCTCCCTTGAGTATGGGACTCTCTTTCAGCCACATTTCCTCAGGATATCTGGCAAGACTGATTCAGCCCCATCTTCGTAGGGCTTTCATGCTAGCTTGGTTCGACGTCCTTCCCTCAGCTGTTCTATCGGGTAAGTTCAAGAAAATCCCCTATTAAGATAGATTGTGCCCATGTGGGATGGGGGAAATTGAATCTTTTGGACATGTGCTTTTGTACTGTAAATTCCACTATGACATCCGTGTTGCTTATACTGAACCTGTGTTGGACCCCCTTTTGGGCCAATCTGATGAGTATAAAATTAGTCTTTGCATCATATAGAAATTCTTGAACCTGTAGCAAATTTCTTTTATGAGGTATCTAGGAGGAGAGGCTCATATTAAGGCAATTCGGAATGTGATACCCCCCCGGTCTATCTTGAGGCTCTATGCTGCACGTTGTATTTGATATTTTATGCCAATAAAGGTATTGTATTTGTATTTATTTGAGTAATGGCTTCCCACCTTGGATCATTTCCTGAACTGCCCTTTACTGTGCCATCCGGTGAGGAATAAACATGGTGACTGTTGACTGTTGTGATTGCTGATTTTAATCTAAGTTATATTTTATTGTTATGTTGATTTTAAATGTTGTGACCTGCCCTGAGCTCTACTGGGTAGGGAAGGGTGGGCTATAAAACCAATCTAATAAATAAATAAATAAACAAAGGTAGCAAACCTCTGAATACTAGTGCCAGGATGAAGCAATAGGAGAAGACCTCTGCCTCTATGCCCTATATGATCTTCTAGGGCAACTGGTTGCCCACTGTGTTAAATTGTATGCTGGACTAGATGGACCACTGGTCTGATCCGGCAGGGCTCTTCTTATGTCCTTATTTACAGACAATACTGCTGAATCCAGAGAAGGATTTCAGCAAGATTCCCAGTTATCACAGCTGTATGGATTTAATTCCTACATAATTCCTCATTTCAACAAAACAATTAAAGCCAGTACATTCAATTAACTTTCACAACTTACAAAGATTGAAAATTTTTCGGTTATCTTAAGGCAGAATAGACACAACATTAGCAATACAACTGAAACAGGCTACTATTAAAAACACAACTATTCATGGTAACTTTGGGAATGCAATTCCTCACCTTTGAAGCCATTAAGCTTTCAAATCTGGATACTTCCGTTATGTAATTATGAACTCTGATTTTCAATTCTTCTTTTTCACGTAAAGCTGCTTCCAGTTCATTTGAGATTGCCTATTAAAATTACACAAACACTATTATGCATCAGTTTAATATGAATAAATGGTTTCCTACAGACAGTAAATACATCTGGGCTCCAGATGGCAGGTAGAGACTCAAGTGACAAAACACACGTCCACACAAAATGGTCAGTCCATATATAAAGCTGCATGTCGGGTTGAAGCCTAGGCTACAACACTTCTCCTTCACATGCTTGCTCTTTTTTTTTAACAGGGAATTTTGGGGGGGTACAGAGGAGCATTCATTCATATGCCTTTATCTGCATCCTGAAGTTGAGCAGCTCAGGCTCATCAGTAGAACTAGGATAGTAATGTCTTGGTTTTCAGATTTAATTGTGCTTAAATAACTAAAGTGGATTCATTCTTGAACGCAAAAATAAAGTTATCCCAAAAAGTAAAAACTACTTCAGTTTGAATTCATAATTTAGAGCAAATATCATTGAGAGTTGCTCTGTACCTGGTTTTCTCGGCTCATGATAGCTAGATCATCCTGTAACCTTCTGTTTTCCTTCAGAGCCATTTCTTTCACTCTTCCGGTTTCGCTGAGCTCAGAATGTGCCGCATCAAGTTGACGACGGAGACTGGCTACTTCACGGTCTTTGCCACTCAGGGCATCCTTTAACTGGCTAGCAAGTGGGGGATTTGGAAAACCTTAAATGGAATTCATCTTTCTGCATTATGGTATAGCATGTAATTCTGTCATGATAAAGGTAGTGGGACACATTTCTGGCCATTCAAATCAATAGGTACTTTTGGACCCCGGCACTGAATTGTGTTCTTCAGATTTTGACTACTACAAACATGCTCTAAAATACATTCTGTCCTCTCTCTTGATGCAACTGTACAAGTACTGGTTATGACACAGTCTTATGCCTGACAACACTCCACTGGTAGGCCATATGAGACAACATTAATGCCAGATCAATATGCATGCTTTGAGCTAAACAAATATCACTATTGAATATTAAACAAAATCTTTACCATGTTTAAAAATTCAATCATTTTCATGTTTCCCTCTATTTTATATTGTTGGCATGAAAAGGCAACCTTACAAATTTAAGCATGCCTTACAAAGTGAGCAAAATGGCTAAAATAGAGGCCCTCAGCAAGATCAATAAAATCATTATGAGAAAAATATTCTAGATGCGATTTGAAAATACCTGCACTTATGAGAATCATAATACATAAGTAAGTGTTCTGTAAGCAAATGGCAGGGGTCCCGTCTTCCTTTTTTCAGGGAAAAATGGAAATTTGGGGGGAAATGTATGCAATACTTACTTTCCCATCACATCCAAAATTCTGCTGCTTTGTCATCATAAAATGAATCACAGTTTAGCATATAAGTGTACTAATTGACACATTTATGGAACTTGAAAATATAAATGCCTTCATTTTCTGCCATTTTACTTGTAAATATATGCAATATTTGAGAGAGAGCTGGAAAATGCTACACCTTATGCTACCTCTGCACATTTATCTTAATTTTGTCGCCATCTGAGAAGTGGGGGGAAATTAAATTTGAAAACAAATTCTATAGTAAACAAAAAACATTATTTGACAGAAGCCGGCTTAAAGTCACAACAGGTAGGACATCTACCACATTTTAGATATCAAGTTAAACTTCGAAACATTGCTAACACTGAACTCTGACAATTTACTATCAAACACTTGTTGGTAAGATTATTTAAAAGACTTTGTTGCTAAGATGATTAAACAAGAAACATATCCTTAAAATATATGGTTATGTTTACACTATACATTAAAATTATTTAATGCTGTAGGTTGTCTTACATAAATTCATGATGTACATTTTAAGTGAGCAAAAGCTTCTCTACGAAAGCATCTCACTCACTACAGAAAGGATTCCCCCCCCCTAGGAATTGGTTTCAGTGGTCCCCAAAATTTCCCACTTTTTCAATGGGAAAAAACCCTCAGAAAAAAAGGGGGTGGGGGAAGTATTTTCCCTCCCCAATTTTTTCCAGGCCTTCACATCCCTAAACTTTGCAATATGACCTTGTAGGACTTCATAAGTATTTTGAGCTGCTCTAGCAACCTGAGAGATTCTGGGATGTGCTGTTCCTGCTGTGCTATGGGGCCATCCAGCCCCTGGCCAATCAATGGGTGTTCCACCTGATGTCTGGGCCTTGTCCACTATGCTGTGTGGAGAGGCTCCATGGAACAAAAGGAGAGGCACACATCAGGGACCCAGCCACGGCGCTAACACTACCCAAACAGTACCTGATGTTTCACAAAAATTGAGATGCTGTAATATGGCTCCAGCTAATCGAGGAATGGAGAAGGTGAGGCATCACTACTCAAATAGAAGAAATCTAGCCAGATGGTAATGAAGGTCTCAAGAGCTTCTCATCTGCTATACACAATTATCTCTCCAGAGATCTAACATTTCCTTGAACCAATCTTCCACAGAAGGCAAAATAAGAGATTTTCAGAGCTGTGAGATAATTTGCTTGGCAACCACGGCTGCCCTTTGATTCCATAACACGTAATATTTAAATTCATAACATGCGTAGATGGTATATAGCCTACTATTGGATTATTAGCTGTGAGACACAATTTGGTACATGGTGGCGAGATACAACATCTAGCAACAAATGTGCAATTTTAGAGCACCCTCAGAGCATGAGGACCAGACTGGCTCCAGGCGTTTTGTGACACCAACAGGCATCACTCTAAGCAAGACCTAGATGGCTAAATCTAATGGGATAACCATGTACTTGTTAAAGAGTATTTTGATAAGTAAGCCTCAGATGCAAATCCAGGATATCAGGTTTAATGGATTTGAGTGCATTTTGCCACTGGGACAAGTGGACTGGTGTATTCAGTCTTCTCTTCTTCTTCTCTTCTCCAGTTCCAATTTCCACTGGGAACAGGTAGCATCTAGACTGTGTTTTGTTTGGCTTCTTAAAAAGGACTGTAGAAGAAAAAGCTGTGGTTGGTAGGTCCAAATCTGCAAAAGCTTCAGGACCCAAAATACAGATCAATGTTTTAACTGAATTTATTGCCAACTAGCTATGGCTGAGAGAGTAAATTCCGGGTACAGAATGTTGAGAGATTTTAAGCTATCACTGGGACAATCAACTGAGATAGGAACATTAGACCACAAGACACTCAAGTGTTTCCCAGGCACATTCTCATTCCCTATCTTAACCTTAGAATTTTTCCAAACAGTTAGATCCTTGTGTATGGACAGGTCAAAGGCCAACTGAGTGCCCTTTCCCCCCTTAATTTCTGCTCAGCTACCTATGCATTAAATCCTTACTTTCTTATTTAATTATTTATTAAATTTGTACCCTGCCCTCCCCGCCATGGCAGGCTCTTCTCCTGTTGATGGCCTATGCTGGGGAAGGGGGGGGGTTACATCATGAAGCTTGGTGTTATATTTACTATCTGATGGAGAAAAACAGTTTTTAAAAGTATTAACACTGAGATGCTGTTTCAACTGTCTTTGCCATCTTTTTTTTTTGGGGGGGGGGGAATCACTATCAGCAAAGGGACAAGTTTCTGAAATTAGATACAGTAATAGCTTCAATGCAATAGCAGCCCAATTCAATAAGCAATCATAAATCTCTGGCAGTATTTTTTAAGCTTCACCTTTCTTAAAAGGAACCTTCTGCAATCACATTAATTTATTTTCCGCAGTCTTGGTTCACATGCAAAGGCTTACTTATAAATATAATTAACCTTCTCATTAAAAATACAGCTTGACAGTTACAAGATGAAACTTTAATAGCCTAAAGCAATAATTTCTAGTGCTACTACTTACTCTAAGGAGGACTCCAACTGACTGAGTGTCTGACGTAAATGAAGGATAGTTTTTTCCTATGGAAAGATATAGTTATTTAGTAAAATATTTATATCCTACTTTCCTTCATAGCTCAAGGTAGCTTATAAGCTATAGGTAATACAATTTAAAACCAAAATAATGAAACCCTAGATATCCCCCCCCCAAAGGCTCACAGGCTACACCCCCCCAGTAAATAAAATGGCCTTGCAGGATCTCTGGAACATTTCTAGTGACAGCATTCTCCATACCTCAACAGGTAGCCCATTCCATAAAGTGAGAGCTACAAGCAAAAGGCATATGCTCTGGCTGACACTAAACAGGCCTCCTTAAGCTACTGGAATAGCCAGTAGGCAGCAGCCTTAAGACCATAGTTGGTGCATGGGGATTTATGGGAGGAGATGGTCATAACCAGCATCTTGGATTGGACTTGGAAACAAACCGGCAGCCAATGTCAGTGTCAGTCAGAGTGAAACATGATCCCATTAGCTAGCTCCTGAAAATAATTTTGCTGCCACATTTTGAACCAGCTGCAGTTTCCAGGCTGTCTTTGAGGGCAGCCCAGTTTAGAGCGTTTTACAGTAATCCAATTGCAAAGTTACAAGAGCATGGGAGTAAAATCAAAGTGTAATAACAGTTCTTAACAGGTAGTCTAGTATGCCAGTATTTGCTCTCAAACCAACCAAATACGGATGCTTTGTGAACTCTGTAGCAGGTCCAGAGCAGTATTTCACTAGTCTCGCAGTTGTCCACTATTAGTAATTGGTAGTTCAAGTTCTAAGGACTGCTGAAGCATATGCGTGGATAAACTTGAATTTCTTCATCATCTTACTTATTGATCATCTACAACATTTACATTTTTTATATTCTATTTTTCTTTCGGCCATCACTGCTTTGGTTTTTTAGACATGTCACCTGATAAAAAGGGTTTTCTTCAATAACCTCACCCCCTTCCCAGTCATGGCTAAAATGTCAGCTGTGGTAAAAGAGGAAACATCTGAAAACAGCGAGACAGAATGTGAATTCCATAGTCAAGCATTTTCTCAACCCCCCCCCCCAGCAAACAGCCCTAAAGCTGAGGGAAATGGGGGGGGGGGATAGCAGCTGAAGGAGGTGTGGTATCAATTAGTATTTGCCCATATTTGTAATGTCAAGTTCATTTCATATTCAAGGTATTATTTAAGGTAGTGAGCTTCTTGGGCACAGGAATATAGATCTCTGAGTCTGGGCAAAACTGCTGTAGTCTTGAGACCTGGACTACAAAAATTAACCAATGTTTACTAGCTTATTTTCTGTCAGTGTTGTAGTTTTTAACATGCTGATGACCCTTTTCTGGACGGATTTCAAGAAACTGAAAGCAGTTCAAAGCCAGTTTCTTGAGTTCAGAATCCAGTTTTAAATATCATGATCAATATACACAATTCTGCACTTACAGGCACTGTACTTCATCTATATTTGGTTTACTCGTCTTCCAGGGCAACCAATATTTTAAATTCTCTTTCTCCTAAGTATATGTTTGGAAAAGAATGTTTTACATCATGATCCACAGTATGGGCTAAGGGTAGAGCTGTAACAGATTACTTGAACAATTTCATATTGCGTGTACCTACCTTGTTGGCTAGATTGTCGTCTAAACAAGCAAGTCTCTCTGTTTTTTCATCAACGCTTTCCTGAAGGTTGTCCTTCTCCTTATCCAAGATATTAATGGTGCTTCTGAGCACACTTATGGTCTCATCCTGGGCAGTGTTCTTATTATTTAATTTAACTGAACATAAAGAAACAAATGTACATTTGAGTTTAGCCTACTTGACTAAGTTAACTGGGTACATCTGCATGAGGTACCTGCACACTCATTTTACCACAAGGCAATCTTAACTACATTTGCACTGTTTGGCATCTGACTTGAGGTGGGAGTGCAGGGCCGACCCACCAGTATGCCAGCATCTTTCAAAGCTGGTTCCTTATAGCTGATGTCCTCCAAAACCTGAGACTTAGCCACAAGAGAACTGCTAAAAGTGGGCTCCTCCTTGCTCAACACACATCTGAAGGGGGGGGGTAAAGGTGACAAAGAGAACTATGTTCTTACTCCCTTCTCAGTATGTTCCTCAGCTGGACTGGTGCAGCAGCAGAATTTGCTACTTCTCTGCTCTCTCCCCCTCATTTTTTTCCAGATGAAAAATGGCTCAAAAGAATGAGGGTGCAAACAATTCACAAGAAACAGAAGGTTCTCTCATGTGTATCACCCATATCCTTCTCAGCATTTTCGAGAAGTCCGGGAAGAACAGAGAGATGGGGAAATTGGGGCCCAATTCAACTTAAGAGCTACTAGATGCTGATTTCTAAAACAATTTGATTTGGGGAAGAAGGGAAACAGATGCTCCTGACTCTCAGGTTAGGGAGTTGGCTTAGCTGGCCTTTAAAGTCTTTTCCAACACTATGGTTAAACAAAGAAGTCACAAAATTAATTTTAAAAGATATAAAACAGCACATACTGATTGTGTCCTCTAGCATCAAAATTTCTTCTTGAGCTGAATGAAGTTCATCATCTTTAATACAGAATCGATGCTGCATTTCATCCATGGAATTTTTAATCTGTTCATTTAGGAGCCTGAATAATCAGTGCCAATTTAAGGTAAAGAAAACCAACAAAATGCAGGTTTTAATGTAACCATGAACATAATCCAAAAATCTTACCAAGGAACAGGATCGTGCAGTGAAAAGAAACAGACTTCCTACATCTTCAATAGGGTATTATAGCTGAAAAACCTATTTAAAAAGGCAAGCATTTACCTTTTTTTAAGCTAGAGCTTTATTGTTGGATCACTTCTAAAAGCTGACATTTAGCATCAAGATTGTCCATATGAGAAGTGCCATAAATGGCTCTTCAATTTCAAGTTCACCTTCCCTTGAGAATATGCTGTCATTGCTGGTTAAATGTCTCAAAAGGAAAGAACCTAATATGCAAACTGGCACTACATCATATACCCTTAAGGAATGAAACTCCGTTTACTGTAACAGATGAAATGATGCAATGTACAAGCTTAACTGAAGTAAACGTGTAGCCTGTAACCTGTTTTGATAATAAAAAACAATAGGGTTTAGCCCTATAACATGGGAAATAGTGAATCATCTGTGTGTACACGTGAAGTACCTCTCTTTCTCATTACTTAGCAATCAACAATTATAGAGCAGGGCTTCCGGGTTGGAGGGTATGATTGTCAGGTAGATCTGGACCGCTTGCACATGTTCTTAGGACTTGAACATAGTTGAAATGGCTTCACATAAAAAAAGCACCAGTTACCAATTGGTATATAGTGCCAACGCCAGCAATAAAGTACAAAATACACGGCTGCACTTACTGAAGGGAACTTAACTCTCTCTTAAATTGTGAAGTATCTTCACTTGACTGGGAGAGCTGATGAGACTTAGCATTTAATTCATCTTCTAAGCAGGTTATTTTGTCTTTCAGTAACGAAATTGTAGTAATTTGATCAAGCTGTTCAGTTTCCAGCTACAACAAACAAAAAGTTGATATTTTCCCACTCTTGTAAATTAACTTTTTTCTTTAGAGCATTTAATTTTAAAGCATTGTAAAAATTAACAGCTTGCACATGTCAGATCATAAAAACGAAATAAAACAGAATCCGTGGCTTCAATCCTAACTTCTTACTTTGTTTTAAATTTCATAGGAATTATGGCATTTAGGTTTGAGGTTTAAGAGTTTTACAGGGTGACAGCACTGAAGTCCATAGCAACACTTCTGCTATAACATCTGATTTTGGAACAGAAATTCCTGCAGGTTTACTGATTCATCACCACAATAAAAAGGTAAAGGTAAAGGTTCCCTTGCTCGAAAGCCAGTCAAATCCGACTCTAGGGTTGCGGTGCTCATCTCCGTTTCAAAGCCAAAGAGCCAGCGCTGTCCGAAGAGATTTCCATGATCATGTGGCCGGTATGACTAAACACCAAGGTGCACGGAACGCTGTTACCATCCCACTGAAGTGGTACCTATTTATCTACTTGCAATTTCTTGCTTCCGAACTGCTAGGTTGGCAGGAGCTGGCACTAGAGACGGGAGTTCACTCCGTCATGCCGCACACTCGGGCCTCGAACTGCTAAACTACCGACCTTCCACAGCCTGCAGTTCAGCGTCTTAACCACTTGAGCCACCGCAGCTCCCCATCACCACAATAGTAGGCCTTAAAAATTGGCTTTTACTTGTGTTCAGTTGGACTCTACTTGAATTTTCCTCCAGTCCTCTCACCATTGTCCAAACCACTTCATAGCACTTAATCCCACTAATTACCAGGGTGCTTGATGATCCCAAGCACATGGGAGAGGGTGCTTAGAAGCAATCATGTCTCCCTCTCAAGAGGTTTCTTAACTACAGAAGCCTGCTAAATCTCTGGCAAATGGAAAATTGGCAATTGGAAAATCCCTCAGAGGTGCCAAGAAACCATGTGGACCTATCCTTCTTCAGGGGCACATCATCCTTACCACCCTCCTTCCCAGCCACAGGTAGACCAAGCCATAGTGATCTGTCTGTGGAGTCACAAAAACTTCCCCACCCTCTGAATCACCATTATCTTGACCTGCCTAGGACAGAATATCCAGGGTGTGACCAGTGTTCCCTCTAAGCTGAGTTAGTGTGAGCTAGCTCACAGTTTTTTAGCCTCTGGCTCACACATTTTTGTCTTCGCTCAGGAAGGAGGGCTCCAGAGCAAACTAATTTATGCAGGAGCCAAACCGCTCGCTCACAATTTTAATGCCAGGAGCTCACAAAGGAGAATTTTTGCTCACAAGACTCCACAGCTTAGAGGGAACATTGGGTGTGACCCGTCATTGTGTGTGCGAAGTGTCACAGACCAATGGGACATCATGAAATCCTGAGCCATTCTAAATCGCAAAGGCTCAATATGGATGCTGAGGTCCCCCAAGACCAAGAGTTTCTACATTCCACCTCATCCATTTGCCCTCCCGTACCTATAACAGAAACTGATACCCACCTCCCCTGGACTCAAATCAGGAAGCAGTAAAATTGGACAGCTAAAAACAAACCAATCAGCTCCTCCTCTACTACTCTCACTAATGGATTCTCTGCCAAAAACCAGAGAAGAAACTACTGACCACCTGTATAGAAATATTGATTTCTAAATGTCTCCTGCATTCTCCTGTGATATCTTTCTGATAACAGGCTATGCCTTGTTTCCTGTTACAAGCCAAATGGTGGGCCCCATGGCCTCAATTGCATGCCATAAACCCACATTCTTCACACTTCCATGCTGGAAGCTAGGCCTCACATGCCAGAAGTCACGTAGCCAATGGGGAAGGCTGGAGGTTGGGTCACCTGACGGCAGAGGGAGTTCCCAAACTCCCAGCCTATCCCCACTTGCACCCATGACAACCAAGAATTGGCCACTCCCCTGCCCACTCACAGTTGGCTCCTGGCCAGGGCTAATTTGTGACTGGAATGGGCCTATAACTGGTCATTCCCTATGGGAGAGATTCTCTTTCTGCTCTTGTGTTCTTGCTCTCTGTTCCTGCTCGTGAGCTCTCTGCTTGTTTTATGACACCTGAAATGCTGTCCTGCCATGCTGTCTGTTGGAGAACAAAGACTTGCTTTGTGACTTAAAGCACATGGAGTGCAAAGATGGGATTTCTCCTATTCAAAATCCCTTGGTGTCTACTTGGACTGTATAACTTGGTGCTACTCTTGGACTGTGGATGCTCCTGAATGGGGTAACTATGAATCAGTAATCTTTAGTTAAGGCAAATCGCCTTAGGCTTTCTTATTTTGTAAATTTATAGTCTATTTTGCTAAGCTCTGACTGAATAAACATTAGTCTTATTTCTAAACGGTCTCTGATGTTGTAACTGGGATTCCAAGTCTATTTCCTGTGCCTAGCTGGCCACACGCTACCATTGAGCATTAAGTGTGCCTCTCTGGGAATGAGGTGCTAATGTGTTAAGCCCTAGATGCCAGCTGAGATTTTGAACCTCTAATCTCAGGTTGGGAGGGGGATTATTGTAGAGGTTCTGGTGGCATATTGTTCTGAATCCAGAGAGGGTAGCCTACCTCTGTGGGTTGTTGTGTAATGTACTGTAAAAGTGCAGGATTACCTTTCACCCCTGGACTGGCGTGGGTGGCCTCTCCTGTACACCACCTATCTCACAAGAGGAGATCCTCCTCTGCTTTCCTTTTAGAAGAGCCCATGACCAATACAGGCCCCAAGCCAGCATCTGACTCGCCAGATGCTGTCTCTGATGCAGCAACAAGGCTCAGGGAGCAATGGCACCTCCCCTCATCCCAGTCTCCTGATGGTCCAGCTGACATCACCCTCCCAGGTACCCTTAGCCGGTACTTCTGATGTCTGCAGGTACCTTAAATCACTTACTCTATGAATAGTGTTTTCCATCTCTGCTATTTCCTCCTCCAACTTTGATTTTTCTAGAGCAGCATCTTCCTGTATGATCTAAGAAAGGAAATAAATTCAAACAAAGTTTTATTCATATGGTTGATATTTATGTAGTATTGTAAAATCTGAGGATTTACTTAAATATTAGTTTTCAGTGGGCAGTAACTAAAAGGTTAGCATCTCCCAAATGAACCAACAGATAGCATTAACTGTTAAATGCTGACCTTTAATTTCTCTCTTAGCCCTTCCTTCTCTGCCACCACTTTTCTGAAATCAGACAGTGCAATGTTTCTCTCCTCTTCCACGTGACTTTGGACCCAAAGACAACTTTTTGCTTCTCTTCTTAGACGGTTCAACTCATCCTGAGACTAAAAAGACACATTGCCCAAACAGTAAGAAAGAATGCATATGCGAGACACAAGAAAAGTGAGTTTGAAGGGGTGAGAAGAGAAAGTAGCGTGTGTAAAACTGACAATGAACTGAGCTCCGCTCAGAAGGAACAAGGAACAGAATCTGGCATTGAAATGTACTTCTGATTTGTCCGTCATCCTCATACAACTTCATTTCCCATTTATTTCTGCAGCAATACTTCCCCATTATCAATCCTGTTAAACCCAGCAGCCATTCGTTGTACCTTTGCCTCCAGATCTTAGCCTGGCTCTGCTACACCTACACAATGCTTCATTCTGAGTCATATTTTCATAAATCTCAGCTCCCATATCCGTGTCACAAATTTACAGTGACCCCCCCCATTTGCTAACTGATCAGGGTCATATTTGTTTACCTGTTCATATTGATTCTTTAGTTTGTCTCTTTCCAAAGTTAGCAGTTTGACTTTGGACTGAATCTGTATCATGTGCTTTTCAAAGTTATCTAGCATAGCTTGCAGCTCATCTCTCTCTCTGGTAACCAACCTAAGATCATCACTCTGGAAAAAAGATATACCAAAAAGGGGGGAATTAAATTATTAACCTATATATTCCCAGTAATGGGACAGTGAGAGTTAAAAATGCTCAAGGAAAGCTTACATCAGTTAAAGTAAACAATATGAACACTATCGAATAAATTGTATTCTTACTGATTCAGGGACAAGCATAGGTTACTAACACAAATAATCAAGGCTGAGAGATAATCCAGAGGGAGGGAAGGCAGCAGCCAGTCACCCATCCATTGCACTGGGAACCAACAGCATGGCTGTCTCTATGTAGACGTTTTGCTCAGCCTTGTCTTCCTTATGGAGCCACTATTTTAGGGAGCATCCACATGAACTCATCTTCTATGCCAAACGTGATTTGGTATGATCTTTTAGGAAAGTTTACTATTAAAGAAGCTTTGGAGGCCATGTGGACAGGAAGGTGTGGATTTCTGCAGCCCCCCCATGGCAACATTTTCCTTGCCTCAGCCCTCACTCCCCTTCCACTGGAGGGCCTTTTAGTAGCATCATAATGATCTATTGCCATGATTTACCAGATCCCAGCTTTCATTTTTTGAAAAAACGGTGTGTCTAGACCTTTTCATTGTGAAGTTATAGGAGGGAAATGTGCATCCTCCACTCTCCCCCTTATAGCTCTACTAGGAAAAGAATTAGATACATGCTTTTTTAAAGATGAAAGTTTGGAACTAGAAGATAACATTATTGTGTTCCAGCAGTCCAGCAATTCCCAAGTTTTTAAAAAAGTGCTCAGGTGGAGGAGGGGGGAAATGGTGGCCGGGGGAGCTGAGTAAAAGAAAGTGTGGGGGAAACTGCTGTGTGGATGTTCCACTGGCCTGCGAATCCGCATTCCATTATGAACCTTACAGGGTGAACCTGGGCCAACCATTCTCTCTGTTTATCTCTCAGGGTTCTGTAGGATAAAAACGGAGAACAGAATCACCTCTGCCACTCTGAGCTGTCTTGGCCCTGCTACAAACCTTTTAGCCAAGACACCCATTTCTGAGCACTGGCATGAAGCTGTTAAGACCAGTGAAAACTTGATGAAGTATTACAGAAGGAATAATTAGCAACAACAACACCACCAGCAGACAGATGTTACCTTTTCTGGAGACTTTTGCAATGGGCTTAATCTTCGTTTAACAATCTTTTGAAGATACTCCAGTTCTCGCTTATAGTAGTCTCTGTCCTCTTCTATAGTCTTTACGAATGCATCTATACGAGAAGGCGACTTGTCTCCAAGTGCAATGCCACCTTCTAGTCTCATTCTCTCTGTTTCTATAACAAGTTCCCGTTCTGAAGGAAAATGAAACCAGGAAGCATGAACACACCTACTATAAACCAATAAAGTACTGCAGAAGCAACTACTCAGGCCGTAAGATCAAGCATGTCTGTAACCTTCCTACTTTGGGCCGTACTGGGCCGTACTGGGTAGGGCGGGATATAAATCCCAAAAATAAATAAATAAATAAATAAAAATCTCCCACATTACTGGAGAAAAGCAGTAAAGACTAGTAAATCTTGGGAGTTAAAACTTTCACTTTTGTCACTGTTCAATACCACCTATGTTATTTTATTTGGCAACCAATTGATAAAACAACTAGTTGCTTAATCATCAGCCTGTTAAGCAAATAATTAATAAACTGATTAAATAAATTTTCATCAAATACCTAAAAATGTGTCTTTTTAGAGTACTGAAGGAAGCATAAGATAATGTACAAGTTAACAAAAGTTACCATTCTCAGAACAAGAAGTCAGGACATTACTTTTATTCCTATGAAGGTAACATGTCGGAACAAAAACACTTTATAAAATGGTTCTTAACTCTAAACTTCACTTGCTAAAACTGAGTCTCTCGCAATCAAACTTCAGTGGTTAATTTACTGCTGTACTATATTTCATCCACTACCACTTCAGAGCACTGGGATAAAGGTCTCATTCATATTCCATTTACAAAACACTTAGAAGCACAGGAAGTAGATCCAAGGACCACATGATGCAACAACATTGTGTCTTTCCTTTTACAGACTAAAACACCCAAACTCAGCATTGAATTCCCCACTGCTACCATGAGCATATGGGGGAGAAGGCTGAGGAGTGAATTACAGTGGGGTTAGCGCAGGTGCCACCTAAGGTGATAGGTATACTGAATGAGGAGTCATTGCTAGCTTGGATCAGAGAGCAAACTATATATATATATATTTCACCCTGCAAATCATAAGAAATATGGGAACAGCAACAAACACCTCAGAGAAGCTGAAAATTCAAAATTATCTTGGGAGAGCCAAAAACAAAAATGGGAAGATACGAACAAAGAGAGTATAGATATAAGGTACTACAAATTGCGTATGTGTATGTGAAAACATGCACAGGATGGCAAATGACTGGTTACACAGCTACTTTTCTGAACATCACAACCATGGAATGCTGTGGAAAAAGAAACACAAGTCAAAGTGTTTGCTTTGATTAATGTATATAATCGTATTGTTCTGCATACACAGAACCGCCCCTTCTCTCATTTCCACTGTTCTGCTTCTGTGATGGGGGCTTTTTACTATTAGAAGTGATGCCATTTTAAGTTCTATTCAGTAATACTGATGCTAGAGCAGTGTTACAGCCACATCTAGAATTCATTGCCATTATCTGTCAGAGTTCCAGTAGGGTACTGAGAAGCTGACAGAATTCAGAGATGACCTACAAGAATGCTAAATCATATAAAAGACAAATGGAATATAAGAAAAGGCAAAGAGCACCACAACAATTCATCCTAGAGAGAAAATAGACGAGAAGAGCAACACACGTTCGAGATTCCAGTCTGAGGATGTATCTCCAGGTATCAAAAAAATGGCAGAAATACGCATAAAGCAAGTGTTAACCCTATCCACTGAGGACAGGACAAGAAAGATAAAAGTTAAACCACTGAAAAATATGGACATATGTAAAATATTTAAATAATAAGCAGTTCTGCAAAGGCACAAACTGAGTATGTGAAGTTTCTGAAAACTGAACACTTCATTTGTCAGGGGGCTTTTGGTACAGATTAGAGCTACTGACCCACTCACCTATAATTTCAAAGGTTTCAACTTTTTTGGCTAGCTTGGAGTTGTCTTGCTGAACCTGATTTAAGACAAACTCAAGAGTTTGCTTTTCGTCTGTTCTCCTAAAGAGTTCTTCTGTTAGTTTGTCTTTTTCCCTACGAGATGAAAACAGCTCCTGAAGCAACAAAAATATTGGAAAATTTATTCATAAATACAGTAAGGAAACCAGCATTTCATGTTATCATAGTACTCCTTGCACATAGGGGTAGAGTTGAAGGAATAAACATCTCTGAAACAAGCTAAGACACAGAAGTTGTTATAGTGAAGATCGTCTACAGAAAAGAATCGGAAGATATCAAAGCACAGGTCTAGTGAGAGCATGGGGCAGGGAAGGAACTGCTTCCCCAAACTACTCTTCAGCACTAAAATCAATGGGATTTAACTGGCTCATATTCACTCAGGCACAGCTTGATTTCAACACAGCTCTCTCTATGTTAAAAGGATCGAAGAGTGGTCACGCAATAAAGTATGAGAGCTATTATCCTTATTAGAACTCAACATCCAAGTTCTTCCAGTCAAGATAATTTAGTACCACAGTTTTGAAATCTGTTGTCCCAACACAATCTATTCCTACTGCCACTATTTTGGAATAAAAGTTTCAGGAGATTAATAAATACAAGAATGTTTGGCTATATATTTTCACAACAGAAACTACAACAGTGTTATAAAGATACTACTTTATAAAGTTATAAAGATAACGTGCTATAAAGATACTACTAATTCTTCTTCTACTGCTGTTTCTAGCATATACACACTAGATCCAAGCCAAGATTATCTAAAACGTTAAACTAAATTCAGTTTAAGAGGCAGCACTACTTACCGATTTAAGTCTGGCTATAGTTTCTTCACACTCCTGGATTTCATCATCCCTTTTTTTAATTTCTTCCTTTAAATCATAAGCAACAACATGCAAGAATGGTTAAGGGCTCATGGGGGACCAATTATTTAACCCTCAGACATGGAAATAACAACTCATGTAGTAAAAATCCCAGAAAGCAGCACGAATTGAGGAGTAGCTGAATGGCTACAAGAAGATTCTGGTGGCAACAAAAATGCCCAGAAAAAGATTTACAGAAGTTAGTCTACAGAGGTGATTCAGCGGGACCTAGGAGGTCTACTGAACCCCAAGTGGAACAGCTTATCCTTCCTGTTGGGCTGAAGACATTCTTATAAGAATATTCAAGCCAGCATCTGCAAAGGCACTGTCTGTGTGTGTGTGTGCACGCGCGTCCGTGCGCACGTGTGTGTGTGTGGAGGGGGAATGGTTACTCAGTTCTGGTGTTACTTTCTAGCAATAGAACTAGCCTACTTTCATCATAAAACTGATGGCTGGGCTCTAAATAAAGGGAATGGAAACCCCATGCAGAAAAAATATGCATGCGTGCACAACATAAGAATATAGAGCTACATACAATATCTGACCCTACATTAATCATTTCCCGTAGTGAATGATTACAGTTCCATTCGGGGAAGTTTAACAGGAACTGTTGAAAATAACAAAATGTACTTAAAGCAGATACAACTCCTGAAAACTTTCAAAGAGTGTTGAAATGTATTCTTGATGTTCTACCAAAGTAGAGAATTCCATTACCTTTGCCTCTCCAATTTCTTTATCTGCTGTTTCCAGAACAATTTCTTTGTGTCTTTCCAGCTGCTGTGCAAAATGATCTATTTCACTCAATTCCTGGCACAGTTCTTCGTTTTTATTACTTAAATTAGCCACCTCGCTGGTCACGTTTTTCCTACTGTCCAAAAGATCGTGTATGCGCATTTCAAGCTCCTTGTTTGCTTGCTGCAAAAATTCAACCTAAAAAATATATTCACACCATAACAAGAGGCTGCATATTACTACAACTGGTGAAGTAGTACAACACATGAAGAGTAGTCATTTGTATTAACTGTAAAATATTTTTATCCACCTTTCCACTTTTAAAAAATCTACAAGGCAGTTTACAAACTTTAGATAGGATTGACAACATTAAGAGGAAACAAACAGTAGAATCGGTGATAGAAATCCAGCAACGGTACAAGAAAAGCCAAAAAATTAATATTAAAAGTTCAAGTAAATGGGACGTCCTTAACTTGGTATCTAAGAAAGAAATGATGGCAACAAGATGGATCTCCTGGCAAAGGAGTTCCAAACCTGGGACACTACCACAGAAAAAAGCCTTCTCTAATAGCCAAGATCATAATATCTTGACAGCAGGTATATTTGCATAGGAGAAGATCAGCCTTCAAATAACTGGTCCCACGCAATACAGGGAATTACTAATCGAAACAAGCACTCTGAATTGTCCCTGGAAACAGACAGGAAGCTAACAAAGATATTTCATAATGGAAAAGATATTATTCCTAAGGCAAGTTCTTATCACCAACCTGACCACTCAAGGCTGAGCCAGCTGAAGTTTCAGAAGACTTTTCAAGGGCAGCCCCACATATAACACCCAACTAATCAAGCCTGCATTTTACCACAACATGGATGTTATCAGAAGCGGGTGAATTGTCCCCTAACTGAAACTGGTGAAAGGCTCTGAACTACAGAAATCACATGAGAGTGTATATGTGAGCTGGAACATATTGAAACATACTGTGAAAATGATCTTTAGTGGGAAATGCACACAGCTCGTTCATAACCAAGTGAATAACCCACAGTAACTCCATCTTATCTGGATTGAGAGGAATATTAGCCCTTATCCAGCCCATTAATAACTCCAAGAACCTGCTAAGAACATCCACATCCACATCTGGATGAACTGAAAAAGAGAAAGAACTGAGTATCATCCACACACTGATGAAACCTTGTCAGAAATCTCTAGGTGACCTCTTCCAGTTACAGAGAGATGTTAAATAGCGATATGGAATTCCGTAATATTAAATACAATACAGCAGAGCAAAAGACACCCAGCATCACCCTCTGTAATGTCTACCAGGAATAATTGGGATCACTGAAGTGTAGTGCCTTTACATCCACACTGAATAGGCAGGATTAGTTCGCAACAAATCCTTCGTAATTATTACATGCAGTATTCCCTGTTCTTAAACTAAGAAATCCAAGGCTGGCAGGCAACTAATGTTATACATAATGATGACTTGAAGCTTTTGGTGAAAGAAGCCAAGTCAGGAATAACACAAGACATTTTACCAGTTCTCCTGTTGCTTTGTTAATAGGCTGAGACAAAGTAGCTACAGAAACGATAGGTTAGCATAAGATTAGGCAAAGGATTAGGTCAAGAAGTTTTTGAATGTTATGAGGGGTTTATTAGTGTGGTCAGGGAAATCTAGTGATTATTATTATTATTATTATTAGCAACTCCAGTGCCGAGAAACACAGTTCAAAGCAGCTTGTCTCATAGCTAGCAGAGCTGTGGACCAATCTAAGAGCCTTAAGCGCGTTACCTGTAAATTTAAATGAGCAATAATTTTTTCATTACTTCTGTTTCTGGCCTCTAGAGATATCACATCATGAGAGCGACCACCATCCAGAGCTAACACTAAACGCTCAATTTCTGCGTCTCGTAATTCAACCTACAAAGACAAAATAGATAGTTCTTTGAAATATTTAGCATCAATACTGGAAGCACCAGGACTTCTGTATTAAATGTACTTGGTACAGGAACATGCATTATGGAATGCTGGAGTCCCATTATGGAATGCTTGAGTCCCACCAAAAATAATTTATCATGACTTTGTGTAAACTGCCAACATATCTGCACCAGTAGTTCCCATTGTCCTCCAAGTGACAACATTATCAACTGCTAATGAGTTACTAGAAGAGATGTGATAGTACAGAGGCAGTGCCACTAGCCCAAGGTTGTACAGCATCTTATGGACGTTTCAAGTGTCAAAAGCTATACAGACTGGTGCCCTGACCTGCATCGCTCAGGCAAGCCCAATCTCATCAGATCTCAGAAGCTAAGTAGGGCCAACCCTGGAAAGTAATTGGAAGGGAGACCCCCCCACCCCCAAGGAATACCAGGGCTCAAGATGCAGAGGCGGGCTGTCAAGCCACTTCTCTGAAAAACATCAAAAAAACCCAGTAGGGGTTGCCAGAAGTTGCCATGACTTCCAGCCACGCAAGCACATACACAAAAGAAATACTCCACCCACACACACTCAAAGAAAGATATACAGCCTGTCAATGATATAAAAATATTCTCTTATTCTCAATAGTATAGCCCATAAAGCACAATGGCTTGTTAGACTTTCTCAGGCTGGACGCCCAATACTAACACTTAGTAAACTACAGAACGAAGTTTGAGTTCAGTAGCACCTTTAAGACCAACAAAGTTTTATTCAAGGTATAAGCTTTTGTGTGCATGCACACTTCTACAATACGCATACAAACACAATACAGAAGACACAGAAGACTCACATAACAAGAGGATGATACAATAAGATTAAAAAAACTAAAGGTTACATGTGTCAACTGTAAAAATTAGATCAGGGTCCTCAGAAAACAATCTACAAAAATGGACCAATCTTCAGATTATAGAATTAAAAAATAGATTTTATCTTACCTGTTTGCTGTAATTTTTCATTTCACGTTCAGCTATCTCTAATTTTTCCTGATAGCTCTCCACTTCCAGCTGCAGCTCATGAATTCTGAAATATATTTTATTTGTAGAGTTTCACTCAGGAATCTTAACAAAATATTTACCTCAGACAGATAATTTTATCACTGTGCTCTCTGGCCACTGGAGAGAAATGGACCATAAACCAATAAGTTACTTTCACACATTGAAAGGAATCAGTGTGAGAAATAATTTTTTTAAATGCAGTGCTTTAAAACATTAATAAAAATATAAAACATGTGTAATGTTTATTAGCATCTCCCAGCATCCACTGCTGCTGCGGCTGGGCCTGGAGGAGCTCCCAGCATTCGCTCCTGCTGGGCCTGGTGGCCGAGCCTGGAACAGCTCCCGGCTAAACCCAGTAGAATGAAGGTAAGTGCATTGTGTGGTACATGCACAGACAACACTTTTTTAATTTGGGGGGACTTTAACCCCCCATGCAGATTTTCTGCAAACCTGGGGGGGGGGGGTTCCCCCAAGTTTGCAGAAGAATTTGTTTAGATATCTGCAGATGGGGGCCCAACTTCGCTATTAAATATACAGACACTGGCCTTGCGTATATTCAATATTAACAGAGCCTCTAATTTTTAAACCACCTTGGTGCCTCTGATTTTTTTTAACCACCTTAACACAGGAGCAGATATATGGCGATCTGCAAAATGGAGGAATTCTTCCATTCACCCTTTGTCAATAAAAGGACATCCCCACAAACACACGCACAGTAGGGTTGAAGACTTAAACTGATTCCTGTGCATCTTCAGGGCTTATTTATTCAGTTCTATCACATACATGGAAGACAAGAGAGAAATATTAGAACAGCATGATCAATACTTATACATTAAAACGGCACATTGGTCACCTGTTATCAGCCACTTGAAGAAGATCTGCAATATATGGGTCATCTGGCTGAGGAACTGGATAGGCATCAACTCCTGAGGGTGGGACTGGCTGATCTATTTGCATACGCTGACGCCTGAATGGAATATTTCTTTTCCTGCCGCCTAAAAAGAAAAAAGGGTATAACTTTAAAAATGAACCCCAACAAACTGCTCAGCAATTGGGGGGGACGGGACCCTGCAGGATTTTATTTGTTTTGATCAGGGACCAAAGTAGAAAAAGATGGAGAGAAAAAGAGTAAGTACAGGGAGCTGGAAGAAAGAACCCTGAAAACTCACAAGAATGGGTTTATTAAGATCCACCACAGCCAGTTTATTCAGAGGAACTGTTGTCGCAATAACACATGCTCTCTGACGAAGTAACTCTTTAAAACAGCCATCCTGTTACCTTTCTTACTTCTCTGGTTACTAATGTGATTGGATAAAGAAAGCCTGTAATAAAACATTTATTTAAACTATCTCTTAATTTTAACATCATATTTACATACTCAGAGAAGAGTGGTTTATAAATCTAAATTATAAATAAATAAAATAAAAATAAATAAAACTACACTAAGATGACCCAATTCAGAAAACATGTATTAAGATTCTGCTGTACAAGTACGAATATTTGAATGCACAATTACTGTAATTCAGTGCTTAACAGTTTTGGTTTCTTTTAAAGCAGCCAATGGCTTCAACCCTAAGAAAATTTACTAAGGAGTAAATCCCACTGAACACAGTGGGACATTATTTCTGAGTAATCATACTTAGATTCATGCTACATACATTCTCAGTATATAATGGCTGACAGAAATACAAAACACCAAAGATTAGTACAGGGATGATCAGAAGTTGTCTATACTAACTAAAAAGTTATTCAGAATTAATAGTTAATAGTTCTGTATTTTAGCTTGTCCACAGATGCAGCAGCCTTTGCTTTATGTATGATGCTGTATTGTTACTGAAATACATGGGTAAGGTTCATCCTGAGGGCAGATGGAATTACACTTTATCATCAATACAGAAGTTTCTTGAAGGTCCCCACCCTTTAATGGCCACCTAGAATTCCCCCACCTGCATGGGCTTCTCTGCTGATTTCAAACAGGCTGAAAAAGGACATATTATGTAGAAGTGCTTTCTCCACCAATGTCAGTAAGTGACCTGTTCATACAGCTGTTGCAGATCAAGCATTTGGACTGAAATTGTGTTCCCTATATTTATTTATTTATTGTTAACATTTTTACCCTGCCCTCCCCGTGAGCAGGCTCAGGGCGGCTTACAAGAGGGTTACAATAGTGCATGCTGAATTCTCTCAGAAATTCCTAGGTGTAGGACTACAGCCCTAGGGAATGAAAATGTAGCAGGTCGGAATAAAGAGTCAAAAGAACTGCTTATCATCTGAAGCTGTACCTGCGGTCTGGACCACTGCTTGCAGATTCTTTTCTTGGAGATGCTGGATTTTTTCAGTCTTAGCTTTGTTCTCTTTCTCTAGTGATCTAACTTTATGTATATACTGGCTATTCAGAAATTTCATGTCTGCAGTCTCATGTTCAACTTTCCTCATTGCAGCTTTCAAATCTTAAAGGTGATTAAAAAAACTTTTACAATAGTATTATGACTTTCCAAATATTTTAAAGGCAAAAGAACACCCACCCACAAGAAAAATTATGAATATACTGAATACTTGAGAGCTGTGACCTATCAAAACTGTGTTTTATTTATTTATTTCCAATAAAAGAGACGACACTCACTAAATGGTACATAAGAAATTCCAACTCAATTTATTTCAGTATAACAATTGATATTTCCTCTTGACACCTTCTTTATGATATGTGCTTGTAATGTAATATTTGTCTTGTAGCAAAATGTTGAATAAGAGAATTTACTTCTGAGGAATTCATAAGAGAATTTACTTCTGAGGAAGTTTAGGAGCGAAACGAAGACTCAAGCCGGAAGCTTTGTTAATATATTGATGTATTGTGATCTGTTTATAATATTGAGATTCTTATGTATGAATGAATAGGTGGTATTTTATGAATTTATGAATTAAGCACTTTAAAAATTAATTTACATTTTGTACAAAATTTCAATATAGTATCTATTGCACTATATACAAAACGTTTCCCTGGCTTACATAAGCTGTCATACAAAATGTTCATATCACCTTTGATCTGATGCTCTGATTGTTCTTTCAGTTTCAGAATCTCTAAGTGTAATTCATTATTTTCACGGGTAAGCCTAGCATTTTCTTCTTGATAAGGTTCCAGGACAGCATCAAAGTTGCTGAATTCTTTTTCAATTTTTCCAGCAGATAACGTTGTTCTCCGTAAACTTTCAGTTGTGTGAACAAGATCACTGAAATCCAAGGTCAGCAAAGAAATAAATTTCAAAGAGGAACCCTGCAATGGCAAAGATGTTCCTACAGATGCCCTGCTTCAAGGACCACTAGCCCCAGAACTGACCACAAATGCTAGCTTGATTAACCAGCCAACCCAAAACTGCAGTTGCCTGAATACCCTCTTGCCAAGCCTTGTGTGTGTAACAGAAAACTTGATGGAGCTCTCATATGCTGAGCTTTGAGTCCAAAGCTAAATGGCAGGAGGGTCCCTTGGAACAGGCAGTCTCCTGTAAAGTTCAGCAGACGACAAACACCTATCCATGGACATGGACCCCTGTGTAGATATTCAAGTTATATAGCAAAGTTAATAAGGGTTCGCCATGTCTACTAGCTACTGATAGACCTCAAGGGTTCACCATGTCTACTAGCTACTGATAGACCTCTCCTCCATTAATCTATCTAATCCCCTATAAAAGCTATTTATTCCTGTGGCCACCACTACACCCTCTGGCAGTGAATTCCATATCTTAATCACTCTCTGTGTAAAGAAGTATTTCCTTTCGTCCATCGTGAATCTACTGTCCATCAGTTTCATCTGATGCCTTCAAGTTCTAGCATTTTGGGAGAGAGAGAAAAAATTCTCTTTGTCAGCTCTCTCCATTCCATGCATAATTTTATAAACCTTTATCATGTTCCCCCTTAGTCGTCTCTTTTCTAAACTGAAATCGGACTGCTTTCTGGCACAGGTGCATCCCAGGTAGAACTGTTCTAGGCCTTGCATGGAGCCCTTAATTTCTAAGCACTTGCTGATTGGTACAGTTTGTTTTCCACATCTTTCAAAAGCACCCGACAATGAATTCTAGTGAAATGTGAATCTCTTTCTTCAAACTGCACTTCAGGACAAACACAGAATTTTAGCTGTCAAAGAAAGACCAGCTCCCATTAGAAGAAGAAGAAGAAGAGATTGGATTTATACCCCTTCACTACCCAAAGGTGTCTCAGAGCGGCTTACAAACTGCTTTCCCTTCCCCTCCCCACAACAGACACTCTGTAAGGTGGGTGGGGCTGAGAGAACTCTGACACAAACTGCTCTTTCAAGGACAGCTCTTGTCAGAACTATGGCATGCCCAAGGTCATCCAGCAGCTGTGAGTGGAGGAGTGGGGAATCAAACCCGATTCTCCCAGATTAGAGTCCGCACACTTAACCACTACACCAAACTGGCTCTCAGTTTGACAATTAGTGTCAGTTACACCACATATTCCAACCCAGCTGTGGATATGAGTGGGTTTTTTGGGGGGGAGGGATTCGCTTTAGATACCTAAACAGCTTTTCCACCAAAGGTAAACTCTCCACTCCCAGAGGTTGCCGATAGCCCAGCTGATCCAACCGCTTCCTTAGATTCACAAACTTTCGCTCTGCAGCCATTGCAGAGGTTGTCTTTAAACAAACCTTATCAAAAATAGGGATCTGCAAATAGTTAAAAATAGAGATTTGTAATTTAGGCCATATTACATGAAAATATTCAGACTGTGCCACTTATTTTCTTGACAAACCCCCTCTGGAGAAGACAGGTGAGCACATTAGTCTTACAATTCTGACATTACTTTTTCAACCAGAGAGTGCATGAAGCATGAGATTATGCAAGTTGGAAACTCGCTTCTTCTCATACCAGGTTGAGGAACACATGACCTGATCAATTTCCAAAATCAACTAAACATCATGGAAGAGGCATTTAAGCCTGTACTGGCTTAAATGCCTCTTCCATGATGTTTAGTTGTTTAGTAATAGATGCCAGTTCAACACAGACTCGCAACTTCTACACACAGGAAGGGGGAGGTTAAACACTATGTATTAAACAGATGCAGGCAGACAATGGATGTGGCTAAACAGTTACATAAATAGCATTTAAGCAAAATAAGACAGGAATCCAGCGGTACCTTTAAAAAGTAACAAATGCTATTTCAGAATAAGCTTTTACAAGTCAAAGACTGCTTCATCAGATACTTAAGAGTGGGACAAAATGTTGGTCTTTTAAGGTGACACTTCAGGTTGCCAGACCCCCAGAATTACAAATGCTCTCCAAACCAAAGAGAACAGTTGCCCTGGAGGAATGGCAGCTTTGGAAGGCAGACTTCCTGGCATGACATTCCTCCTGAGGTCCTTCCTTCTCCTCCCGCAAACCCACCTGGACCAGGCTCCACCCCCACCCCCCAGGAGTCTCTCGAGCTGGCTTTGGCAACCCCAGTGTTTCGTTTTCCTGCTATAGGCCAACACGCCTACCCATCTGGAAGCGTTTGGATGAGTGTCTGGGCCAAAAGGCCGGGCATCCTACCGTTTAGAAATCCCACTATCATTTGACGAGGCAATACAAAGTGGTTGCAAAGGGAGGGATTTTTTTTGGGGGGGGGGTGAAAGGTGAAAAGGGGGTGAAAAGACACAGCCCAGTGTCAAGGGAGGGGGGCACAAGAGCAGATGTGACGCGACCTGCTATTGTCATGTGAGAGGGCAGGGGAAGAGCGAAGCCAGCGCAGCGCACTCTGATCTCCAGGCCGGGCGCCGCCGCCCCAGAAGCCCAGGAAACCTGAGGGCGGCTCCCGGCGCAGTGACGTCACGGCACTAGCATCATCACCATCGCCATGGAAACCGGGCCTCGAAAATCTCAGCTGTCTTTCGGCACCTCCCCCGCCTGCCTCTTCCTACCCCCTGCTCCTTATCCAAGAAGGGGACCGGGCACTCACCAGGGACGGGAGCGGGCCTGCTTGGCCTCGGTCCTCCTATTCTCACCACCGCGCATCGCCCTCCCGTCCCCTCTAAGGAAGCAAGCCGTTTGAAAATGGCGCGCGCCGAGCGTCGGCCACTTCCGCCCGGGCGTGGGGTGGGGTCGCCCCGGCAACCGCGAACGTTCGGAGCCCAACGAACCACCGAGCGAAGCAGAGCTCGCGCGGGCCACAGCGGCTCCTGGCGGCGGCTCGCGAGAACCGGTTCCGCTCTCTACCCCTCCACCGGCCCTCCGAAGGGTGGGGGGATGAGCGTCAGCCAATCAGATGTGAGCAGAGCTGCGCGCGCAGGCGCTTTGGCAGATCTATGCCGGCGCTTGCTGCAGAATGTGGGGCATGATGACGGGTGCAGGCAGCGTGGATTCCCCACCATCCCGTACTTTTCTTTGCTGGTCTTGGCACGGTGGGGGCCTGCGAGGCGTAGGGCTAGGCCAAAGGTTGCAGGGCGGGGCTAGAAAAAGGAGTAAGGATGCCAGCCTCCAGGTGGGACCTGGGGATCTTCCGGAATTATAGCTCATCTCCCGAGTGCAGAGATCAGTTCCCCTGGAGAAGAATGGGTGCTTTTGGAGGAGGGTGGACTGTATGACATTGCACCCCACTGAGGTCCCTATCCTCCCCAGTCTCCAGGAGTTTCTCAACCTGGATCTGGCATCCCTACCCCCCATTCCCTGCCCTAGCAACCCTAGATGCCACTGTTGCTGTACTTCCCCCCGTGACAACCCACTGAGGGTTTTCTGGTAAATGGTCAGTCAGCCCCTATTCTGATGCCAGGGATGCCTATTCTGAAACACAACTTTAGCTCCCAGCTCTGCAGTGGAGAAAGTTGTTTAGAGGTAGGGTTGCCAGCTCCAGTTCGGAAAATTCCTGGAGGTTTGAGGGGGGTGGAGTCAGGGGAGGGCAAGGCTTTGGGAGGGGAGGGACTTCAGTGTGCTATAAAGTCCACCTTCCAAAGCAGTAATTTTCTCCAAAGGAAATGATCTCTGTTTCCTGGAGATCAGTTGTAGTCCCAGGAGATCTCCAGTCACCACCTGGAGACTGGCAACCCTATCTACAGCTGTGTTGGTCCAAAAGCAAAATCCAAAGCTAGAGTGGCCCATTGGTTAGAGTGCTGAACCAGGATCTAGGAGACCTGGGTTTGAATCCCCACCCTACCATAGAAGTTTGCTGGCCAGGTAACCTTGGGCCAGTCACACACACAATGCTTATTCTTCCTCACAGCTTTCTTCTGAGGATAAGATGGAGAAGAGTTCCCATGGGGAATAAAATGGGATATAGATGAAGTAAATGAATAAACACAATCCACACAACACCTTTTTGTTAGGATCAACCAAAATGACACAAAACCACGCACAAGCTTTCTAGAACTCCTCAGCAGTCTAAACCTGGCAAAAATTAAAGGGGGAGGGGTTTACAGTTGTGAATCCTGGGCACAAGCGTCCTGAGATGTGAGCTCTAGTGCATAAAAAGTCACACTGGAATTAGATTGTGTTAGCTGAAGGTGCCACAAGGTTATATTTCTGCTGCAACAGACTAACAAGGCAACCTCCTCTAGAATCAGTGCCGCTCTTTGAGGATGCACATCTGCAACTGATACTGTGTATGCATTTCATTAGAACACAATTATGCTATATAAAGTGCCTTTACATGTCTGCAGGAATGTTAGTGTCAACCATTATTAAAAACTCATAGCTATTATGTAGTAGTACCAGGTGTATTTGCAGCACACCCCCCCCCCCAAGAAAACTATTCACTGTCCCTCACTTCAGGTGAAATGCGGTGAAACAGATAATTTCCTTTGGAAAAAACTGGATTGTTTACTCTGACCTCTCACAGTAGCCAAGCTATTAAGGACAAATCTCTATTGAGCTCTAATTATACAGAGAGATCTGCGAATCAAAATTGTTTTGATTTTTAATTACACCTTTTCCCACATTGGAATCCAAGCAGTACCGATCTGCTTTACAATTTGCCCAGAAAGGGACAGTAACAAAATGACTAGAATTTCAGTCATCTTGTCTTTTTAAAAACAAAACAAACTTGCATTCAGCCCTGGAAGATTCTTCTTGTTGATTAACTACCGTGGGTCATGTGAAGGAAAGGTTATTTTGATGCCTTTTCCCAAAATTACAAGTACAGCAATGAGCCTTTCCTGATAATACTGAATTTGATGGAGACCACAGTTAATGGCTTGTATCCTGCCCGCCGAGTGTGGAGCCTTTCTGCAACAGAAGAGGCTCTTCCATCATCATCTCCAATCACCCACGATAATCCCATTGGGAGTAGGAGCTCTTCCTGTGCCTTGCCACTTTCTTCACAAGGGAAGCCAGTGACATACATTTAAAGCTGCGGTCATTAGTTTTGAAATAGTGTTGTCATGGGGAATGTCAACTGTATGTTTGTTCACTGAGCCAATGTGGTATAGCAGTTACAGTGGTGGACTAAGATCTAGGAGACCCAAATTCAAATCCTGACTGCCATGGAAGCTTGCAGGGTGATTTTGGGCCTAACTGCCTTCACTGGGCAGGATAAAATTTAAGGGGGAATTATGTTGAAAGCCACTTTGGGTTCCCAGTGGGGAGAAGACGGAATATATCTATATATGTTTATGTGTGCGCGCGTGTGCACATGTGTGGGGGAACATACTCAAGTTAGTTTCTCACTCTCTCTGCATGCCTCCTTTAGAGAAATGGCTGACAGCTTTTCCCTTGTACAATGCCCAGTTATAGTGAAATACATGTCCTCAGGAAAATAAGGTAATTCCCTTTGTGTACAGTTTATTTAAGATCAGAAAGACTTACATGTACAGTAGTTCTTTAAAGATGTAACATGGATGTCCCGTGGAACCATATATTAAACTTTGAAACAAGAAAAAAAAAATTACCCAGCCCTTTACAATAACTTCAAAATGAATATAATCCGTTGGGAGCTACAGCATGTAGGGGAAAGCAGGTGATTTTGATATCTAATGTTTTAGAAATATAGAGAATGGCCAAAATGCAAAATAAATCTTATGCATAAATTAAATCGTGTGACAAAACGTCTGTTTTTAACTCTGTTTTTATCCTGTAAGCCATCAACACTTCTGCTGAGGCAACCTATCAATAGGCGTCAGGTTAATTAAGGAAACCCTTAACACTCACTCACTCTCTCTCTCAAAGCACACCCTTCCGTACACATCTGGTAGCTTATCTCGCTTTACCCCTCTGCAGATATTAATGAGACTGTGCAATACTAGAAAAGTAGTCCAGAATGTCCTGAATAGTGAATTCCATAGTAATTCCAGATCCAGGGTAGCAACGTGCGATTAAGCCTTCAAAGTGCTTGTACTGGCGTATGAACTCATCTTGCATTAAATGCCACACCACCTACCAAAAACAGAAAGATAAAAGGAAAAATTCAGTAATGCTATCAGATTTCCAATTTAAACTTCCAAGGGTCCCTTCATGTTGACTTCAATATTGGGGGCAACAGCTCTGAACCTGCCTTGGAAGGAGGGACACAGAGTGGTCTCTAAGGACACACAGGCAGTGCCTGGCCAAAATAAAGACTCAGTGACTCTAATTTACCAAGGTATAAAAGCCCAGTGTCCAGGGCTATTTTTGGGCAGGAACGCACAGAAACGGAGTTCCGGCTGGCTCCCAAGTTGGCCACGCCCAGCAGGAACTCATTAGCATAATAGGCCACACCCAACAGCAGAAACTCATTAGGATTGGCTACATTAGGGGTGTGTGGCCTAACATGCAAAGGAGTTCCTGCTACAAAAAAAGGCCCTGGGTTTTGATAACAAACAAGGTAAACAGAATAACAAGCAAAAGGTGGGTGTGGCTGGATAACCAAACTTCTGGTAACATGGGGGTGCATCCTAATGTGCTAATGAGCTGTGCTGGCAGGGGTTTTTTTTTTTTTTTTGTGTTGGGTGTGGCCTATCATGCTAATGAGTTCCTGCTGGGCCTTTTTCTACAAAAAGAGCCCTGTCAGTGTCAAATGACAGAAGCGTACTTTTCAATTGTCTGGTACAATGTGTATGGTCTGTACCCTTTCAGACCATAGGTGGGTGGGCTCAGATGATTCAATGTTCCTCCATTCAAGAAATTCATTCCATACACAGTCCATCAGGGAATCTCTCTCCACCATCAAATAGTTTTCTGTTCAGAGGCAGCATTTTAACTGGAGAAGGAATTCAAGCATGTGAGTGACCAGCCTCCACCCGAAGTAATATAGAACATATATGGGTATACTGCTTCAGCGAGGACAGGGCCTAACAGATAATTGTAAAAGTGTGTGATGTGGAGTGACCCAATAGGGGCCATTCCTCAAATATATCCCTCTTGCCAATCCCCCAAGATATGTACCCTCAAGTGCTTGAACAGTCTGGATACTAATCTGTAATCCACATAACATAACTATCCCCACTGACATAAGGCCAAGCATTCCCTTGCCTCATTCATCTGATGTTTTTGATCTGATTGGAATGGAATAATAATAGAAATATTTGCACAGCAGGTAAATATGAGCTTAGCAAAGGGATTTTGAGATCTGTTCCCTCCATCATGTTCTGCCATTCTTTACCTGAAGTAGGTTCTCCTCTTCACACAGATGTTTATCCACCTTCTTGTAGAGATTGTCCAATCCCTTTTTCACTTCCTTCCCAGGATACTCCTTTATAACTTTCCTTAGCTCTTGCTTATTAAAGGCCAACTGGTAGCTCACTTCTTCCTCTCGCACACCTTGTGCTACACGAGCTTCGACACCCTCAAAGAAATGCTGAAATGAAGCCACACATTAAGCACGTGGTAAGCAAGCCTTGTTTCTATAGGTTTTCAAATGATCTACTTGACTGTTAAGATAGAGAATATTCTTCTCTCATCTGCTAGCAGAAGCCACAAATCATCTAAATGATGGGGAGGTCCTGCATCACCCACAAACCTCAAATCCCTTGTCCATGGTCCAGCAAATCCCACATTTATTTTATATTAAAACATTTACATCCCACCTTTCCTCTTAGTTCAAGGCGGCTTTTAGTAGTAATCAAAACATCCCCAACAAAAACAAAACATAACAAGCCTCAAATCCCTCCCTTCCTTTAAAAGAGGCCTGCTGTTCAAACCCTCTAAAATGCAGATAGCTGCCTCTTTTTGTAGCAGGAGCTCCTTTGCATACTAAGCGACACCCCCCTAACGTAGCCAATCCTCCAAGAGCTTACAGAGCTCTTCTTACAGGGGCTACTGTAAGCTCTTGCAGGATTGGCTACGTTAGGGGCGTGTTGCCTAATATGCAAAGGAGCTCCTGCTACAAAAAGAGCCACCTTCAAATACAGGAAGTTGTTTCTGCTAGTACATGACAGCCTATGGCAACAGCCAGCACTTTCAGAGGAATATCATTTTTAGTGATAACAATACAGCTCATTATTGAGCAAAAGAACTGGGTAACCCAAACTGGAAATGGTCAGCTGTATCCAATGGGGGTGTAGCCTATCCCTATTCTGCTGAGGGAGGAGAGACAACCTCGCCTGATTTCATTTGGTGTGTCTGTATATAGCAAAGATTGGCTTATCTACCATAACATTTTTTGTGAACATTTTCCCAATTCGACTGAACTCCAAAATAAAGCTATAAAAGAGGGGTTTCTTACATTTAATTTCTCAAGTGGCTGTCCCAAAGAGTAGATGACGTAAGACGTAAGGTGATCGGTGTACTTCTGTTTCGCTTCCTTCTTCTCGGCCTCCAGACATGAGATTTTCAATCGGGACAGCGTTGCAAAGATATGGTGGAAATTCTCCATCATGACCACGTCCCGGGGTGTCTTCTGGCTTTCATTTGCTACTTTTTCCACTAAACAGACAGTTAAAATAACCAATTTACAAAACAGCCAGAAAGTATCTATGCGTACTTCTGATCACATAAACTAAATACACTTTGTGAGAACTAAGTCAAGACAGGATGTCCTTGTGATTCTAAAATTAGAAACTAGGGATTTCTGAGGTGGATACAACAGAACCACCTTAGAAATCCTTAGTTTCTAATGGAGAAATACCATAGTTGCACTGATAAACACATAAAAATAAAGGCAACGATCCTGCTAAAATTAAGCACTTTTAAACTGTATACAGGTTAAAAAACAAGTTAAGCATGCTTAAAATGCTGAAACAGCACTTAAACTTTTCTGTTTAATGACCTGCCATAATAATCCTTTATAAAGCTCCATCCCTCAATTGGGAAATATTTGTGAATGTTTTTATTAGTAAAGCGGCAAGGCAGCATCCTGAATTAACATCCAGAGAGCTGATAAATAATTGTACAATCACCATGCTATAGTAATAATGCCCCAATTTAAATACACAACGAACAGGGAAAAGTTAAACCTATTTTTTATTGTTGACTGATTTAGCCCATTTCTTCACCAGAATGAAAAACTGGCTTTGTCACACAGAAAAAGCCCTGCATTTCTAGTCATAAAATAGACTCTACCATTAGTGAAAACGCCTCTAATGAGTTTTAGGTAGGCTTTATCTAGATCTCCTCGACGTTCTGCATTTTTGAAAATAGATTCAGCAAGTGCTGCAAATTCTTCAAATTCAGCCACAAAGGGAAGAATTCCAACTTTACTCTTCTTTGATATCTTTACGTCTTCCATCTGTTTTATTTGATTACTCTGAAATGAAAAGGTAATGGTAGTCAAGTCCATTGTGTTTTGTCTCAAATTTGCAATGGGATGGAAATGATCTACCCTGAAGTAGCTGCATGGGAAAGAGAGAAAAGAAAGGCAGACACATCCAATCTGCAGCCGACCATAAGGAAACATGAATGCACAGCTGTTTAATCTGGGTTAGAAAGGGATTTGTAGCATTTTTAACAATAAAACAAGGTGGCGGTAAGCACAGTAGAGACATGCATGATCAAGATGGCATGATGAAGATGCTGGGGGAAAAGGATGAGAGCTGAATTTCCAGAAGCAATTGGGTTGCACGTCCTGGATGATCTACTGATGGAATAAGGAGGAGGGGGGATCTTGCTAGTTTCTTCTCCTCAACCGTCCCCTGCTCCTGTTGTGACTTTTTGTCTGTGGGGGTCCCCGATCCCAGTAATGCCTGGTCCCCCACCCAGTAACGGGGCAGCTGGGGGAAAGTGGAAAACATCCCTAGGACAACCCAAGGGCTTTAAAGGCACTAATTAGTCTGGTCTCTTGAAGCTGCTTGAGCAGAGTCTTTGCATTTGACACACTCTATAACAACACAGATGCCCGCTGATAGAAAATTATGGAATCCAGGTGCCTCTAATTATACCTCGATTTCATTTACCTGAACTTCTGCGTTCCCATCTCCTTTGAATCCTATAAAGTGGGCAGCTTTTTAAAACCCACCTTTTTATATGCCTAACTACTCTTTGGCCACCTTTCAACTGAGAAATGTATTTACACTTCCTATGGTCTCAGACAAGAAACATCAATAACAATAGCTTCGGTCTTCAGAGGAATGTAGCGGCAGAGAGTTGATCTCCCGTTGTAGTTTTCAACCTTCTAAAAACAGTCGGGGGGGGGGCAGTTAAGGGCTGTAGTATCCCCCCAATTAAAATTCTCTTAACTTTGAGGTAGATATTAAGTTTAAGATACAGAGAAGGCCGATATACAATGCAGGTACAATGCCAGGCAGGATCGGATAACTGTGCACATCTAGCCCTTGGGCTTTCCATGCATTTGCTGTAATTTCTAAATGGCTTATAGGCAGAATGATCTGTTTGTGCGTATAGGATTTTCAGGGGAGAAGGATTCCAAGTTCTTGGCTGTATATGCAGGATTCAACACACGCACGCATACCATGTAGATGTTACAGCCACATTTGGAAACCAAATGGATGGTGGAGTAGTCATGCTGCTTCATGAAATCTTGCCAGATGGGATGCTTAGACCAAAATAACTTATTCAAATTGTTAGGAAAAAACTTACAATGCATTTATCGAAGTTCCTCTTGACAGTCACTAAAACATTCCCAAGCGTTGTGCTGAGAAAGGAGGTAGGGTCCACGTTTTGTGCTGTCCACACATGGTGACTCATTTTCACTAGCATATAAAGCGAATTAAAGCTATCAATCTTGTCCCCCAGAGCAATAAGGTTATTCAGTTCTGGCTCAACACAGCGAAATATTTTTATCATCATCTGCCGGATCATGTGGTTCCTGGGAATTCAGACAATGAACATGTATTAGATTTAGAATCAGCCCAATATCACCATTATTTAATACACTACTTTATAAATAGTTGGTTGTTTTTCACTTGCAGGTTACAGTTAGTCTCCAGATTTTCTGAAGCATGTAAAGAGAACACAGTTTTTATTTAGGATGTTACCCTTGTACTTCTACTGTTGGAAGAACTGTTGTATTCCCCATTTATGTAATATTTGGAATTTTAAAGCTCTTTGGCATTGCAATCTTTCATTCTTGTAAGAATACTGGCATGGATACCATTTATCAGGACCCAAGTAGAGATTAAAAGAACCTGCATTTCCAACTTCACCACAGATGCGGCACATGCTGTGGGCCTGAAATTGTACCCTGTGGCCAATATATCCCCAAGTAGAGTGTGAAAAGCAAAGAGGTAATATGCAGCAGGATATGAGAACTGGCAAAAATTCCCACCCACCCCTTTCTGCTAGTGGAGATGAGCTCTGTTTAGGATCCTGGACACTGTAAAACAGATAACTTTTCACAATTTCACAACTGGACAACAGAGGCTGGGAGCAGCTCAGAGCCAGCCAATTCACTTCATGGTTGAATTTAACTCCCTCAGAGCTTGGGCTGATATTCTACACATAGACCCACTACAGTGGCTTACTTTTCAGTCTATGGGATAATCCACCCTCACACACCAGAAACCGAGCATCCATAAGACTTGCATCCAAAAAGGTCTATTGATGCCTCACATGGAATTCTGCAACTTTATTACCCCATCACTAGATGCATGCAACTTAACGTACTCAGAGGATATTGACTGTGGACCACCAGCACTATGCGACTTGGATAAAGTTCCTCCATCCATCTCTTCAGCATCACCCTGAAAAAGTTAACGTCTAAGATGAAGGGCATTCATTAATAATACAGCTCCAGTTTGGACTTCACAGTCTGTAAAATTAAGAGCCATACCACAGCTGTTCCAGGAAGGCTAAGATGCTGTTGAAGTTTGAAGAATTTACTAATGAAGTCTTGTTCTGACAAACACAAGGGCTCCAGTTCACTCAGTACTTGTTCAAAGATCTACAAGGATCAAAGGGTGCATTTCAATACACTGGACAGCTACCATTAAATGGAGAAAATACTTGAATCATGTTTTTATACTTTAGGATTTGGGGGGGGGGGTTACACCACTTGTACCTTTCCGGCAGCACTGCTGCCTATTCTTGAAATCTAAAGCTCCCAGGTCTGGCCTTTATGTTCTATTTAAATAAAACTTCCTTCTAAATCTAAGCAATGACCATGATCCAAAGTCATTTGAGGATGCAAGGAGCTTGAAAGCTGGAGAGGAAAGCTGCTTTTAAAAAAACAAAAAACCCTGCACATCTAAATAGCTTCTCTGGATTTCACCAAACTTATTTAAGAATAGATACTTAATTGAAATGGCAAAGATTTTGCACAGCTGTTGGCCACTCTGATGAAAATATGTCTAATCCATAGGTGAACAATCATTGTTTACACCATGTGACACAGCAATGAAATAAAACCCAAGAGCTTCACTGGCTTACTTAGCAACAGGCTACTATTACTGGATACGTGAATCCCTTTATTTTGTTTCAAACCTCGTGTGATCACATGTCCAGAGTACCTCCCTGTAGCCCACCCAGTGATTCTATACCTTGGCTGAATACTGGGTTTCTTCCCATCTGGGTAAAAGGTAACATCGGAAGCCCCGGGTGACTGGAAGGAGTGCATGCTGCAGCTTCTTCCCACCCCAGTTTCCCCCCAGTTTCTAGGAAAAGCAATACTGTTGTGTGGAAGAGCCTCTGTGTGCTGCCCTTCCAAGCAACTTGGGGCTTGCTACGTTCTCTTTACTGCTCCTGTGCCACAAAACACACACAAGGGGGAGGGGTGTGTGTTCAACATTTAATTTGTCAGTTGGAAAGACTTAATAAATTTAATAAGAATATTTCTGTAAAGTGTTGGAAATGTAAGGCAAATACAGGTAATTACTTCCATATTTGGGGGACATGTAAAAAAGCAAAAAAAAATTTTTTTTGAAAAATAGTGAAAGGATAGAAGAAATTCTTGAAATAGACATACAATTAAAGCCAGATTTTTTAAAATTAAATCTGTTACCGGAAGCTTTTAAGAAATATGAAGCATATCTAATTTTACATGTAATAGTAGCAGCCAGAATTTTATTTGTGAAGTACTGGAAAAATGAAAATATACCTACTAAAGATGAACTTTTATTTAAAATATTGGAAGTTGCTGAAATGGAAAAATTAACATATACTATTCAAGGTAAAAGTGAAAAAGAATGTGATAAATATTGGTCTGAACTGTATATATGGTTACAAAAATTTTAAGTAAGTGAACAAAGAGATAGATTAGTCTTATGCAATCTCTGGAAGATTCTCTGTTAATTTGAAATGTAAAATGTATATGGAAGTATTTGGTTTATGGAAAATGAAAATAAACGGAGGAAAAAACCCCAACATTTAATTTGTCAGTAGACACAATATGATTATTTTCTACTGCTATGAAGAGGCACAGTATTAGTCGATACTCTCGATGCTTTACCTTATCAAACTTTGTTCTGTCGGCCACATCAAGGTCAGATGTGGACATATTCCCCATATCCAGTAACGAGGATGACTGAGACCTGCGGTTTCCTGAACTCTGGACGGAGAGTTTGTTTAGGCTGGAAGTTGAACCTGTCAATTTTCCAGAACTTCCATGAAGACCTATGGTATAACAGATCCTGTATCAAAAGTTGTCCGAGATGGACGAATATCATTGCTACACATTAAGCACGGTATACTTATTTAATTTGCACTCCTGCCTCTCCTCCCACCACACCTAAAGACTCTCAGTATTTGCCCCCCAAAATAAAGCTGTTGTGCTCACACGTTTCTTCACTCAGGTGAAGAAACCGAGAAACAAACACTGAGTGACGATGGGACACTTGGGAGCAGCAAACAAAAGAACTATTGTAGGGCCAATAACATTCTGGGAAAGAACACAGGTAAGAAGAGAGAGATAGGCCAGGTGCAATTCGTAAGGGGCATCTTCTAAAAGCAAAGCACAACAAAGGGAAGAAATTACTATTTTCTTGAGGGGGGGGAAAGAAAATAGTAGCAAACACCTGCTGGAAAGAGAAGAGAGCCCTCCACCTTTTCAGGGCCCCTTTCTGTTTAAGAATCTCAACTGCAAGCTGTATTTACTTGCACAAGCATTTCTCCTTGGGAAGAATGTACTTCACTCAACATGTGTTAGGAGGACGGTTTGCCTTTGGACTATGTGTAGATATTTGATGCACCTTTTGGGGGTTTTCCAATTCAGGTTCTCCCTCTTCAGTTGCACAGAATTGCAAAGCCCACATTTGTGCCACTGGTATGGAAAGATACCATTGCATCCTATGCAGATATGCCACACCCACGGCTAGAAAACAAAGTTCAAACACATTTCCACTGCATATAACCTACAGGTAGAAACTTTTTTTGGAGCTCTCATCCATCTTTGCCACAGGAAATGCTACTCATTAGAGGGAAGATGACGGGACCAACGGTCACGTCTGGCTCTGGCTCCTCTCCCGGGGATAACTTGATGTAGCACATGAAAAACGCGTACCGAGTCATTGCAACCAACAAATTTGGTGTTAATAGGTTTTGCCATGACACAGTTAACTTCTTACAGAGACAAGAATGCACTGGCAAGAACCACTTCAAAGCGCTCGTCATACTCACTCTCCGTCTCCTGTTTGACAGCACTTTCTTTTCGAGGCAGTGTAGCTAGGATGGATTAGGTTGCAAGCATCAAAGACAAAGACAAGTTAAAAATGCATTTTGGCACAAACCATGCACGAGATGCAAGTTAAGCACTAGCTGGAAAGAGACATGCAGAGAACTATGAGAAGCAAATAACTACATTTGCAAACATACATAGCTGGGGGAGGTACCGGCCTAAAATACTTTGTTATGCAGGAAACAAGTGTTACATTGGGCAGCCCCATTTCAGATTGACCCGTATTTATTCAGAAAAGAACAAAGAAACACAACAAACCAATGGATGTGAGGCCCTGGGTGTGCGGGGGGGGGCTCCCTTTTGCAAGCTATGGCGGAGAACACATGAGTACTCTTGCACAGAGTACTCTTGCCATGATGCAGAATGGTCTGGCTCAGGGCAACTGGCTGCCCAAAGTGGCCACAGCATGCAAACTGGAGGATGTGCCCCAGGAGGACCCCTTATAAAATCACAGCGGATCCTTGTGCACATCTTTGGATTTTCTCTGATTAGGAGCAGCTAGCTACAATCCAGGAGTTATGTCCTAATATCCCCTGCAACATGGTAAAGGTCCTGGAAGCAAGTCTTATCTGCTTCCCTCGGCCCCCTAGTACTAAAGTCCAGCTGCCATTTTAGGCAACTGCTCTAATGCTCATATGAGCTGGTTCCAGTAAGGAGGGAACTCGAATGCACAGAGCTGAACTTTCTGGCAGCTGGAACGTTCTGCTTACAAAACAGCAGCTCTGCACCTGAACCATCGCTCCTCCCCATGCACAAGAACCAAAATCACTGGTTAACATTTATAAATGATAAATCTGGCAAAGATGGTCACAGCACATAGTTCCCCCTTTGATACATCACTTTACATTAAAAATAATTACGAAGGAGAACTTCCTTCTGCTTCGTGGAATCTGCAGCCAAGACTAAATTTGCAATACTCTTCCTAGGACAGAAACATGACCACCGCTTTCAACTGTACTGAATTATCTGGCTTCCAGTGCAATAAAATGTTAAGACAAACTTCATGCATTCTTAACTCTTTGCACTTTAAAAGATTTACTGATGTCGTGTTTCGCTGAGACCTTTGAACGCAGCTCAGTTGTGGATGTTGGGGTTGCCATTCAGAAGACTCACAGAATCATGTTTCTGGACAAACCAGATGACAACGGAGTGCAGGTAAACAGAGTGCTGCTGGTGGTCCCATAATGCCTTCCCCCCAATCCATGCAGAATTGAAGCCCAGAGCTTCAGTCTCAGCAAAAGTACATCATTTAACCGACAAAGCTAGTGTCACTCCTACATCCCTGAATGGAAGAATTTATTGGCAGAAACTTATAGACATCGTTTTGTGGGTTTTTGGACACTTGGAAAAGCAGGAACATGTCCGATAATATTTTACATCACAACACAATACTGAAAACAAGAAAATGCTTATTCGAAACTTACCAAACTTCTTTCCTTCCTTAGTTGCACCTGTCATTTTAATCTTGGCAACTTCAAAAAAATCCTTTATTTCCCTCTCATACAATCGTGATAAATAATCCATATAATTCTTTGAAGAAAAACAAATACAAAATGTTAGGTAAAGCTCACACCATCACAGGGCATCACAAGCCAAAACCCACAACAATTACACAAGGCACAAACTGTTCTCCTGAAATGCAGTCTTGAGAAATCAAAAAGAACAAGCTGACCAAAGGTGGGATAAGTGGCGGAAGTCAACAGGTATCATTTCCTTGTCATTCAAGAGTTAGCAGCCCCTGTGTTAAACTCGGGCATCTGACATGGAGACAGGCTGATTGCATTGATTATGTTATTCTTCCTTTTCCCTACTTGTATCCTGTATTCAGTGCTTGTGTTCTGTATTCTTATTGCTGCCCTCGTTGCCATTGAATTCCTAGGGGGGGGGAGAGAGTGTGATTAGTTTGCTAGGGAGGATTGCTTGGTAATTTTCGTGGGCCCCAAGACATCTTTCACACAAGAAATGTCCTTGGAGAAGACTGTGCCTGGCTAGATAGTGGCAGTATATCTTTCAGAGTCACTGTAGAAACGCTGACATAGGTGTGCACGAAATTTGGGGGGTTTACCTATATGTTGCCTTTTCCTGCCTTTGCACTTTAGTCCTAACAAAGAGTTTGAACCCACAGCATCTCATGTCTCTAAATAAAGCATTCACTGCAGAAGTGTGTGTGGAGAGTGATTTGACTGGGAACCTGACACCCTGCACAAATACCTTCAAGTTGCTATCGTAAACAGGAAGCCTGTCTGATTTTGCTAAGCAGCACTGTATGTTGGAGTCCACCAGAACGTCTACTGGCAAAGAGAAAGGAAGGTCCTTTGGTGACAACTTAAAAGGCCAAAGATCATAAGAGCCCGATGGGATGGCAGCTGCACTGAAGGGAATCGGGCAAGACAGAGCGGAAAAGTGGGTAGGAATCAAAGCTGTGCTAGTGGCCTCTTGCGCTTCAAGTCATGTACTCCACCCTGAGCCACTCACCTTTGTCAGTCCTTCATACTTTCCATAATCTGTGTTCTTCAGCCACTCCATAAGTTTAGCATAGCGGAGCAAGTCTCTGTGAAAGGGGTGATGATTTGGCAGTGTTAACTCCGCAGAATGCTGAGCGAGAGTAGAGCTTTGGTCATGACCCTTTGACAGAAGACAACAAACAGAAGAGAGCTGTTTGTGTGAACATACTGGCAGCCTTGCAAACTTGGGATACTTGGGAAAACTGCCACACTTTTATCAGATATCAGCAGTGCTGTTTGCCATTTGTTAAGGTAAGTCTTTTCAGCAGTTTGATGTTTCTATCAGTACTTTGACAGATAGAAAACTGCAAGAATACGGAGTTTATAAAACTAGTGTTTTAAAGGACAAAATGCTGAGCTATGTTATATGTTAGGAATCATTTCTTGCAACCACAACGCATTCTCATCAGGAGTTGCTCTTACGTTTGAAATTTCAAGACTGCTCTCCTTTACCTCGTGTTTCAGGGACAGAAACATTGCCCCTCGAAGCACGGTGGATTTATCTATGCCTCAGCTGATCACATGCAATCAGTTTCCACAGTCTCTTGTGAGAAAAACAAATTAAATATGTCTTCTCTTTTTTATTATCTTTCATTGAACCAGATTTTCCAAAAGGCTTTGGTTTTAAACAGGGAGAAATTTCACATACACGTTTAAAATGCAACTCTGGACAAGAAATTCAACACAAACACGGGAGGGGGCGTGGTTAATAGACATTACAAGCAGAGGACCCACAAGGTCTCACGGGGGGGGGGCATGTTATTTTCTCCCTCTATTCTCCATCCCCTATTGTTTCCCTCTTTACAACCCCCTGGCAGCTCCCACAGCCTCTTCCCTCTCACTGCTTCCTTCTTTCCCTCCTGCCCGTCAACCAATCTACCTTTCCATTCTTCCCCATCATTAAGGTTTCCCTCCATCCCTGCCCTGACAGCCTCTCCCCTTTTTTTCCTCTCCCATCTACCTAGCTACCTTTTTCCTGTTTCCCCACTTCCCGTTTCTCTTCCCCTCCTTTCCCTGCTTCTTTCCCTTTCCCCATCATTTACTTTTTTCAGTCTGTCCGTCTGTCTAGTACTACTCATATGGCTATCACCACCTTAAGCAGAAATTAGAACAAAAAAAAGTATTTAGTTCTCTTTTATTTGATTATTGTGCCTATGAATTTTCAGTCTATTCTTCACTCACTTTGACATGACAAAAACCAAGGATTCGCAAGATGAAGAAAAGTTGGTTTTTATACCTCGGTTTTCACTATCCAAAGGAGTCTCAGAGCAGCCTACAATTGCCTTCCCTTCCTCTCCCCACAACAGATGTAGGTGGGACTGAGAGAGCTCTGAGAGACCTGTGACTGACCCAAGGTCTCCCAGCTGGCTTCATGTGGAGGAGTGGGGAAATCAAACCCAGTTCTCCAAATTAAAGTTTGCCACTCTTAGCCACTACACCAAAATGGCTCTCAGAAATAATGTTACAGTTGCTCAGCCACCAAGGGCTCAGAAAGCAGCCTTGCAGGATCACCTTAGACAGTCATCTCTTAAAAGTTACAGACACTGCTAGTATTATTTTAGAGGGTTTCTTTAAACATCTTTTTAAAAATTCAGACACTTCTACATTCTCATCAGGGGTTTTGTAGAATCGCTCCCCCCCCCGGTCCCCCCCCCCAGTTCCATTGTATAATTATTATTTTTTTGCCCACACTCTAGGGAATGATTCAGAATTAGATAATAATGATTTAAGTCAACGGTACTCACTTGGCAGCTCACAGAGAGCCACATTCGCAACTGCCGTCAACCAAAAGAAGCCATATTGACTTCCATCCTTGTCATGGGCCTTACACTTCAAGGAGCCTCACAGCTTACTTGTTCTTTTGGTGATGGCTGTTTCAATGTGGGAACCACCAGTCAACCAAGAAGCCCCGCCAGACAAGAAGCTTGCCCACTTGCCTGGAACATGGGGTAGGTGCTCTTCCTCAGAAGAGCCACGGGTGGCTCCTAAGCCACTGAGTATCATTCATATCAATTATACAGCTGCCTATGGGAACACCAAGGAGCTGCGGTGGCTCAAGTGATTAAGACGCTGAACTGCAGGCTGTGGAAGGTCGGTAGTTCAGCAGTTCGAGACCCGGGTGCCGCAAGACGGAGTGAGCTCCCGTCTCCAGTTCCAGCTCCTGCCAACCTAGCAGTTCGAAAGCAAGAAATTGCAAGTAGATAAATAGGGACCACTTCGGTGGGAAGGTAACAGCGTTCCATGCGCCTTGGTGTTTAGTCATGCCGGCCACATGACCACGGAAACGTCTTCGGACAGCGCTGGTTCTTCGGCTTTGAAACGGAGATGAGCACCGCAACCCTAGAGTCGGACTCAACTGGCTTTCGAGCAAGGGAACCTTTACCTTTATAGGAACACCGGATCATGACACTGCCCGATACAAGCCCAAGAGGTCCAGGGTTGCAGTTTCATGGTTGGATGCAATTTACAGTAATAGTCTCACCACTTCTCCAGTTGAACTGAAATAAATGCTAAATGTGATCAGCCCCCTCATTTTCTACTCTCCCGCCCTCTACCAGGACCATTTGGCTACTGCTTACTATCTGAGAAGACTGAATATTTGGGAATGAATTAAGAGAACAACTCTCTTTTTCCAGAGTGCTGGCGGTGCCTGTCCTTCCTCTTCTTATCCAGCCCCATCTCGATTCAGACTTAACGCAACCATGCACAAGCAATGCACTTATTGCAAACTGAAAACTCTTGGTACTTCCACATCGCTTCAATGTTTCCTTTTCTGCACTGTGCATCTCTTACAAAAGCATATTAGTCACAAAAGTGGGAAGCTTTGGAGCCGAGGGAACAACCTGGAGGATTTGTTCCCCCGGTTCATAAGCTGTTATTTTCTGTTTGGCTGGGGCAGCACTGCAGGGTAGTTAGGTTTAGCAAGCTTTTGTTTTTTTTAAAAGCACAGGCTCAATATGATAAAGCTGCTCGATTCAAACTCTCTGTACTCACGGGAACTGAAAGATAGTAGGGCTTGTTATACAGCTGGAGAAGGGTCTCAGTAAACTATTTGGAGATAAAATACAGGGATAAACGCTGCATTGAGTTTGAGATGCCTGAACAACTGATGCCCAGAGGTTAAACTGTGAATGCATCAAATAAAGAGCTCAAGGATGGCACTGAAAAAAACCCCACACATACGGTTACATATAAAATAGAAGGAACTGGAAGGGTACCACATTATTGCATTTCTCATCCTCTTTGTCTGGCACCTAAGTAAACCAGAATGCATGAGGTCAGTCAAGCAGGTTCCATCAAAATGGCGGGCCAGTTTTGTTTCAGGGGAGTGGGCTGTGATATCACACTATGACTTTCACCTGCACAAAGCACCCTTATACCTTTTTTTTTTGTTGAAAAAGAGGTTCAGGAACTCTCAGGAGGAAAATTAAGTTTTCAATCTGCATACTGAAAACTCATGAACTTTTAAACATTTTAAAAAGAATTTTGTCAAAGAGGTTCTAGAACTCTGTTTCGGTGCGTTCCCCCAGGAAAAAAGCCCTGCTCATTGCTATCAGTAGCTTGGACAGGGGATGACTCCTTCTCCAAACCTGCCAACAGGGTATGACTTGAACAGTGCAATCCTGAACAGAGTTACACACTTGTAACCCCACTAGCGTCAACAGACTTAGAAGGCTGTAACTCTGTTTAGGACTGGAATGTAAATTACAGTTCAAAATGCACTTGAATTGAAATCTGTAATGGACAGTGAATGGTTAATGCTTTAACCTGGTCTGAGAAACTTAACTGAGTTTTCTTCCCATTCCTCAGTTCCCTAGGTTGGGTCAGAATATGTCTATATACATTTAAACAACTAAGTGGGACAGACAGAGAAATAAAAAACAGGAAAAGGAACTGCTCAGCCAAGAAAAAGGGAAGTGGAGAATTATTATAAAATCCCTGTCTTTAATTGGAACACTGGGGATCTCTGTGCACAACTGGAGTCCCAGTACTGTATTGTAAGCACTTAGCTATTTTTTTCTTCAATTAAAGAGTGTGGCTACTGGCCAATTAATATCATAGCATTTTCCTGGTCACCCTCCACTAGCTGAGGTGATGACAGAACACTGCCTGTAAACATGGAACCTGTTAAGCAGCACAAGAAAAGATATAACAAAAATACAGGCACTTGAAAGCTATG